TGTCGCGACAATATATTCAGGGGATGCATTCAAGACATCTATAGTCAAAAGTCTGCAGCCTACGAATGTCTTCTGTTTCTATGGTCCATGTTTCACAAACATATAGTAATACAAAATGAACTGCTGTACAATTAAATCGCCACTTGGTTGGCAGACAGATATCTCACCAACTCCATAAATGACTCAGTTTGAAAAAAGCCAGTCATTTGGCTTATTGAATCCATGTCACGATTTCGTCAGACACCAATCTATCATGGCTGTTGAGATATCCCAGATAAATAAAACGATCAAAAGTCAATTGATTCGCCCCCTATTATCAATCTAGGCGATGACAGAGGCCAGTATTCAAGCAATATTTGCAGTTAGGGGGAGATAAACGTGATCTAAACACGTTTATATTGCTACGTAAAGTGATAAAAAAAAACTGCATTTTCTAAGTCTTCACCAAATTGTCATTTTGGTATTCTAACCCAATAAGTAGACCTCCTGACAGATCAATTTTCGAAAAGTTAGGTAAAGTGTGGTTTCTAAGGGGACATCCATGGTAAAATTAGATAAAAATGATTGTGGCCAGACCTGAAGTAGTTGATGATTTTGATGACAGTTCACGATGAACTCTGATTCGAACTATTATCCGGGTTTGTGGGCTTTATCGATAAAATTTTACGATGATAAACCCAGTCACAAAATGTCTCGGCTGATGGAGTCGAATGCTGTCTTAAGGTCAGGTAAGTGAACTTTAGTTGGGTTTATATCATTTTGCTTACGTTTCAAAACCTGTTGAGGGGTGAACATCTGACCAGTATATTCACTTCCGCGTGTCAGACAGACCTGGTCTCCACGAGTTTTTTTCACGTGAAACCAAGCGTCAGATAAAAGGAAGCATTTCTCACAGGGTAATCTATAAATGATAGATGAAATCCTTAAAAAGGATTGTATATTGCTTATAAGTTCCTTGTAATGGATTTCAGAAGATGAAGCAATTATTTATGGATCTACTTCTCATTTATTGACCAATTTTGTAGTGCATTAAAATCATTAACTAAAATGTTTATTAGCATAGCTAGACTAAGCATATCAAGTTAAGCCAGTCAGTTATACGCAATGTAGAACCTGGGAAATATGAGAATCGGTTCAAAGTGTCACACCACATCGCCACAGTAAGATACCAGAGTAGTATAAGTAGTAACAACCTTAGTTATATTAGAAAAGATTAGGTATAGAGGATACAATTCGGGGAAATCTGGAAAATAATCAAGATAATTAGGATCTTACGGATAACAAAGAATGAAGTTACTTGCAAGCCGAACAATGGAATAAATAGTTAGAATGAGGAAAATACTACTTGATCACAACTAACTATAATCGTGAATCAAATCTGTCGGAGTTTTAGTTTTCGATTTTGTTGCTCCATATCTTAAGCTGACAACTTATTTATTTCTTTTAATTAGTTCAAATTTCCTCAATAAATCCCACTGATATCGTAGTGAACGAGAACACAAGCGGGGACAATCGGATGTATTTGAATACAAAATTACAGAGCGTCTTAGTAAAATCTGAGAACTGTACAATAAATACTTCATTTTCAAAATGTTAATCAACCGTTTCAGACTTCAGTGTTCTTTCGTTTCCACACCATTCGCTCTCTCTTCTTAGGTCTTCTTAACCTTCTGCTGCCAGGCACTTCACTTTTGATTGATGATACATACTACTTACATCTGCCGACATCAGTTGCACATACCATAATATGAGATACGTGTCCAATATAAAACACGGTGTTACAAACAAATTGAAATCGTAACAATTAAACCAATAAACAATAAATTTAAGAAGGGAGAGGGGTAATGCACGGTCTTTGGATGCTTAGTTTGGTTAGGATGTAAAATTACAGACAAAATTTTAGTCGATGTATACTTAATTTTACTTGCAAATCTCAAATCAATATATGACATTGAATAGTAACTAAAACTCTGCATGAACTATTAGGGCCAAATGATATCTTATAAAAGGTGTGTATCACGGACAGTGGTATATTTTAAATTTCATCACGACCAGAATTTTGCATTTTAACATGCTGGATCGAAGTAATATGGATGATTACTAAGTATTTAGCGTATCTCATGTGAAGTTTCGACCAAATTACTACATATTTCACTAATATGACAGCATATGTTAAGCGGTCACGTCTACAACGGTAATAATATATATTGGTAAAGAAAAACCGAAAATCAAGAGATAAATATGGTGTATGTTACTTATGTTTGCAGATATAAGTAATATGTAACACCAATCGGAAGTGGAATGTCTGAGAACCGAAGGCTGACAAGATTGAAACAAAGAGGAGAGAGAAGGAAACTGAGAGCTAACAAGATAACAACAGGAATGAAAGAACAACGAATTTTGCAAGAAATAAGTGAAAGATGTGCAAATGATGTGTCTACTGTATGGTTTTCATAATTTATGAAGACACTAATTTTATGCTAAACAATAAATTGGTATTCTCCATCTGTGTTCGTTCAGTACATAACAACTGCTTTCACGCATCAAGTTTCCTGAGTAACTCGTTTTACTATATAGATTTAAAATAATAAAGGATGAATATAAACATGCAACGAGTACTCTCTGACTACAGGTGGTTAGGAAACACCTCCCCATCTTTGTAAAGACCTCACGTCAAATATCGTTGTAGCATGCATTCAATTTAGATTAATTTACTAAGAACAACACATATAAGCGAACAATTGTTTTCAATTAGATCGTCATCAGGCTTTACTCTAATATACATGAATATTTATACGAAAATGTTAAACCAATCAAGGCAATATGAGTCAATAATCACAATGAAATAGAATAAGTCACTACACATAATAGGTAAAAGTACAAGTTGATAGTACGAAGACAGGTGAACAGATAGTGGTAAGAATAATAAACTACAATAACAAACTCTTATCAATAGTTAATCGTTGGAAATAGAACGTCAAATAAACATGGGTAAATAGACTAGGAATAGTAATCACAAAACATTAAAAATCATTACGTAATAAGATGTGTGTAAATAATTAGATAGTGAAGAATACAAAGAGGCGGATAATGACAAACAAATAATGGATGTGGAAATAAGGTTAACCATAACACAGATAGAATAAAATAAATAATGATAATAATAAAATTTAAAATTAAAAAAAAAACTGTTAGTTAGGTTATAACTGGCCATGGAAGGGATAGGGGAGTCACGTATTTCTTCTGTACACATAGATTGGGGTTATATGTACGAATTCCATTGGCTTCAGCTATATATAGGAGACGGGAACGGACTCCGTCGGGAAATGATGGAGGTATACGATAGATAACTCGAAATGATTTCGATTTCTCGACTGCATGACCGCTATCAATAAGATGTGCTAGTATAGAACTGCGAATAGTTTTTCTCTGACCCTTTATGTACCAAGTTGGTAGATGTTCACTCATTCGTTGGTTAAGTTGCCTGGTAGTACGCTCTATATAGCTATCTCCACAGGAGCAGCTGAATTTGTAGATGCACATGGAAGAGGCCAACTCAGGTAACTTATCCTTCGTTTGAGTAGACATCGCTGGTCGACAAGAGAAGGTCAACGCAAGATTGGCTGCGTAGAATGTCTTGGTGATTACTTTGGTTAACCTATATTTCAGAGTGTCACTAGCCACATCCCCGTTGAATTGCACTTTCATGTATAAAGGTTTCTTACGAACAGTCGAAATCTCCGACTTCTTTATTATATCCTGCATGTATTTCTTAATGAACGCGCTGGGGTAGCCGATCTCGGTCAGTGAGTTGATGAGAAATTCAAGCTCCTGACTTAGAGTGTCTACTGTACAGATCTTTTTTGCTCTGCTCGTGAGACATCTGACCAAATTTCTCTTGTAACGGATGGGTGTGAAACTGCAGAAGTGGGTATATTGGCATGAAGAGGGGTTTCTTCTATACACGCTTCTACTTAATGTGCCGTCACTTCGTCTGCTTAGTGTGACGTCAAGGAAGCTCAGCTTCATATCATGCTCGCTTTCACCAGTGAAGGTGATCGCTGGGTGAACACTGTTGAATTGGTCTAGGAGTTCCTCTTTACTAGTGTTTTGGTCTACGATAATGAATGTGTCGTCAATGTATCGACAATATAAATCCAGTTTCTTAATAGTCTTATTGAGAGGCCAAACTCAAAAGCATCAAAGCTAAATTACCTAAGGTACTCGCTGCATATATGATACAGAAGTAGTCTACGTACAGATAAATATGATGAGATAAGATAGGTCAATATTTTTTGTATCAATTTAGACCAGGATAACAGATATAAACTTCGTTCAATGTGACAATTATATTCCACTGACCAAATAAGGTGAACTGTATATCGTTAAGATAAAATTTTCAATGTATCGTCGTATTGAGAACAGTTAACTACCACGTAGCCTGAAAACGAAAAGCAGTTTGTCCTGATATTCACTGATGATCCCAAATAAAATATGTAATTGGATTGAATAAAAGTAATTAATCGACAAAGCTATTGACTACTGATCTGAAGCGTTTGGTGAGTTACATGTAGATGAAGTCAACTACAAAAACTGATGGTGACAAGCATACATAATGGGTTTATAACCTATTCATATGCTGAGGTCTCAACATTTCTTAACAAAAAAGAGAAAACCAACAGCAATATGGATCAAAGGAAGTAGTGAAGATACGGTGATAATGTTACAGACTTATAAGACAATTAAGACTGATTTTGTTTTGAACCACTATGATCAACACTATAAGAGATTTCTAACTTTTCTTTACCATCTAACACTAAAATAAAAAATTAGAACTAAATATATTTCAGGGGTTATAATTTTTAGGAATGGATTTTCAGTCGATCATAATTACTAAAAGTACTTACAATAAAAAAGCCGAACATATAAAAAATAGTTAAACAATAAAGAACAGCATTTTCACACGAAAAAAACCTAACATGCATCATTATATGACTTACATTCTGATTTACAATAGCACTAGTAGTAGGAATCATGTTACTAGAGCTTGAAGTAGGGGTTATCGGTGATGGTCTAGCCATTAAATTTTCTGCTGCTAAATCTGGAACGCCTGTAGCTAAAAGCTCAGCAATTATCACAGAACGTGAGAATTGTGGGAACATATTGGTTAGTTGGTCAACAGCAGAACGTAGATATAATGGTAATACATTCAAATCACTATTCCCATTAAACATAGAATTATGAACATTAGTATGATTAAAACCTGTCGTTTGTTGACCATTTGTTTGATTATTCAATTCGTTAATTGCACTGTAGGGTTGAATTCCACCAACATGAAATACCTCACGAAATACCTGTAGCAATAAAAAATGTCTGTCAAATCCAAGATAGTAAATATGTACAATTAAATTTATATGGTTCAATAGATGATTTTTTCAGAGCAGATTGGCTACAATCTACTAAAATTCTAATGAACTACAGTGAAAACTAGAGAGTTACCATAATATTTGAAATCGTCAACAATTTATTCTTAGCTAATAGATTTCATAAGAAAAACAAAGTAGAGTTGATTTTGCATGCATCAGTTGTAAACGACACGTACTGAATTTAAAAGTACTGACACTAAAATTTAATTGCTTAAAATCTTGGTTTGTAGGTAGGAAGCTGAACTTACTACTTGAACGTTTAGAATCAAGAATCTAAAATACTGGGTAACAGTTAACCGGTTTAAGAATCACAATTTTTATTATATGCTATCTATACTGACCGAAAGCTGTTTTATTGTCACAATAGTAGCTGAGCAAGTTTGTTGCATCAGAAATTTGAAGTTGACTTCGAAAAACGGACTAACAGATTAAATTAGACGAGAACTAAATGAACACTTATTATTATAAAATCATTGCACTAATTGTGTGTCACAAAAATAGTAAAATACCATAACTCATATGATTAGAGCGTGAAAAGCACTTAATTAGATGGTAAACTAATATCCTAACCGTCGCTTAAACCTTGACATGATGGTCGGGCTTGCATTATCGTGATGGTTCGATGGAAGTAAACTGACCAAGTATTCGTTAATTTAGGTCTTACCGTTATAGTCATGTTGGTTGTTGAGTAGTAAGAATAAAAACACCAAACCTGTGGTCCGAGGGCGTAGCCGTACTACCAGCTGTATGGGAGTGTGATAGTAATATGTTGCTTTCCCTCAAACAACCAGAATCTGCAGCTATGTTGTTTTCCCACAATGGAAAGAGGGGGTTTGTGAAGATCAACTCTAAGGGCAACACATCTCAACTTGCCCCATGGATTTCGGTCACTGGCAGTTGGGACCTTAAAACTAAGGACCTAGCTCAAACAAAACTACTCGGAGGCAGTGTGTGAGTAGTTTCGTGTACTAGTCACGCCACCGGGTATTCAAGACTATTCCAAATGCAAATTCTGTTCCAGGTCCCTAAAGAGAAAATATTCTCACAAAACATCACACGTCGGGGCAGTCGGTCGTTGCGCATACGTAACACGTGTCCCAGACATCTCAACTGATGAAGTTTCACTACGTCATCAATTGATTTGCCATCCTTACCTAGTACCCGTTTCCAAACAACTGCGTTACTTACTCGGTGGTCCCAGGATATACGAGCGATGTTCCGAAGACATCTATGAACGAATACTAGTAACCTACGAATATCCTCTACTCTTACCGTCCACGTTTCATTGTCATAAAGTAGGATGGAACGATTTGCTACAGGTCTCCATAAGCTCTCACTCGACTAGTTGTGTACAGGATCCCAAAGTGGATATTTTTTATTACTTTAATACACAGATATTGGTACAAGGAGGCACCAAATACATATGCGCCACACAAATCTCATTTGATTTGTGTGAGGGGTGTGGTACTGCTCGGGTGCCCGAACCGAAGCAGGTGGCTTTCTTAGGGGGCCACACCCGGAGCCTTTGACCTTAAGGTCTAATCCACAAGGCAGTGGAACAACGTCAGGAGATGCAGTCCCATGGTAGCCGGTGACCAACAATTGGTTCATACGCCATTTATTACTTCAGGGTACTGAAGCCCATGTGCACCATTGGTATGGAATCAGGGTTTTCCAACTTCCCTAGGTGGAATCTCCATGTCCACCAACCCGGTTAACGCGCTGGATATTCGCTTTTCGTCCTCTCAATTTCGTAAACAACACCCCCGCCGCGAGAAGGCAGTGAGCAGGACTTCCCTGGCAGTGATTGTATGCACGTGGCCATGTGAGAGCGTTTCGAGAGGGATAGCGGACTCTCCCCACTCTCGACCGTACCAGGCCATTTGGGGGCCATTCGCTTGACCCCATCTACCCAGTATGGAGAGCCAACGTTATATATTCTTTGTGTATCTAGAGAAGTGACGTGAACTTGTAGTCTTGTCGGTGTAACTATAAGCACTAGACCTAGGAGTGGAACAGGAACTTCATGACTGGATTCCCGTAGATCGTAGCTTATCTGATGTTCAGCTCAATAACACACTAAGAACTCGAAAAGATGAAGTCATAAACTGTTGTTTTTTTTCGTTGCTCTTACCGATGCCGCTACCGATGGTAGATCCGAAGGAGTAAACGGTGAAACTATGACTTCTTTCTGAAAGCCAAACCCTCAAACGTAGTCGTAGCAGGTGATTTAAACTCCCAGATCGGTAAACGAAGTCAAAATGTGAAACAACGAGGTGTGTCGTAAGGGGTCTCGGTCTGGAAACAGACAATGGTGACGGTCTTCTGTAATTATGCTTAGACAATCGCTTATTCCTATCAAGTAAAAAATTTAACAGAAGAGATATCTTTTAATCTGCCAGCCCCTAATCTCAACACAAAGGTGGAGACAGATCATACGACCGTAAGGCATAATTGGAGGCCTTATATAGACTGTCAATGCATCCAGAGTACATGCTTGGACTCTGACCATGCCCTAGTGAGAGCACAATTCTGATTGAGTCTTAGTGAACACAGAAAAGCCATAACAAAGAGACCCCTTAGAATTTATTTCGAACATGCTTTCAGGATGAAGTAGTTCAACACTTGGCTGATCAAGGGGCTCAATACGAAGGGACTCGGCGCGATAACCAAACAACTGTAAATAAATAATAAATATTAGTCACTAAGTTGTATTAAAAGGTTAGGAAAGACCAGTGCATTCACATGCCACCTAATGAATTAATAGATGTTCGAAAACTCATCCTAGAAGGCTTAATGAACATTGAAGAACGAAAAATGATTAAACGTAGACGAACAAAATTGTTATGCAATGATCGTGACCAGTGGTGGGAACCACAGAGGTCTAAAAAGGCTTCGGCAATACGTAACACTAAACAACTCATCAGACCCGTCAACGAAATAGGCATTAAAAAGGCAACTAATAGTGAAACTATTTCGGGAGAAGACAGCAATAATATTCAGTTTCAGTTTAGCAGATTAAGACGATAAATAGGACAGTTTAAGAAACAGATCATCTGAATTCCAGTGACTATTAAGTTAATCAGGATCTCTAAACAACCTGAATGGGGAATCGATACGAGTTCCCCAACTCTTGGTGAGGTTGAAAAAAGTTATAACTGATCTAGGAAACGAAAGAGAAACAGATCCTTACGCGTTAACTCTAGAGATCTTTAAGGACGATAGTCGAATGGTAGTTGACTGAGATACTAGAGTCTGGGAGCTGGACGTAATTCTATCGGACTGGTCTCAATCGCTGATCGTTCCAATTTATAAGAAAGGATATAAACACTATTGCAATAAGCATAGAGGAATCAGTATGACCGTGCAAAATGATTGTCTCTATAATCATCCAACGCTTGGTTAGGATTCGTCAATGATAGCATGAAAATCAGGATGATTTCAGATATGGACGTAGATGTATTGACCGAATGTTTACTTTTCGTTAGGTTTCAAAACAAAACAAAACAGGAATACTCACTGACATCCGATTATAGTGGCATTTCGTGACCTCAAAGCAGGATTCAATTCTGCTGAAGATAAGTAAACATCAGTGTATATCTAATAGAATCCACAATTAATTCATCATTCTGCTAAATTCGATAAATACATGTATCATTAATGAGGTTAATATAGCTTCGAAAAACTTAAATTTAATTATTTTGTAGATATAATGACAACTCTTAGCGTTTACATGAAGATAAATATTACCGTATTACATATCTTAGAAGGATCTACCGCAACCAAGAATTTATCCGCTTGATATATAATTGATTTAATTATTTAATAAAATAAATTATCCCACAAAACAACTTACTTCAGACAGTTCAACATGTAAAGATGGTAACCAGGAGAAATAGCGTGATCCATCAAAATGGAAAGATCTACGTCTAATTTGGTCTCTAGCTTCATTTCCTGGAGCAGTTTGCTGATTTTACATGGAAATAAAAAACACAATAGATACAGATGACTCGATAAAATATCAGTAAAACTACCCAAATCAATAGTGTTGGAAAGACAATGATTAATTCAAAGATCGATAATTTTAAGTGAAATGACTGTGTGTATACGGCCAAGGCATGAAATGTTCACGTGTAATCGTGATTAAAAGGACTTTTAGACATTTTACAGAAAACAGAAGGAATGCAATCCGCAAATAAAAAAATTAAAAATATTTGCAGCAATAAACATTTGTAAACTTTTTTAAAGACCGAACTAAGCTTTTACAAATGCAATGGACTAAACAGAAATAAAATTACCACAAACAGACAATTTAATTAAAATTTGGTATTTAGAAACAATTCGAATCGTATAAGTTGTGCGTGTACATCTCATCAAAAGTGAAATTAAGTCAGGACTCAAGAGTGAAAACAACATAAAGAAGAATCCCTAACGAAAAGTTTGAAGATCGTATCCAACTACAGATATGATGGTACATTGAGAAACATATCTGTTTGCTACAGATTTGTAACGCACATACAGCAATATCAAATTAGAAAGTAACAACCCTAGTAATCTGGGAAGTACGCTCACTTACCTGCCATTTTAAGAAAAGTGGACTCATATTTATAGCCAAGGATTATTTGGCTTTTATGTCTTTCCAAAACGACGGCCAGCCCAATTACTTAAATTACGGTATAAATACTGAAAGTAACTGGAGGTAACCCAAAATAGCCTATTTCACAGAATATTAGTTCATAAGTCTAAACTATTTTACAGAGATGTAAACAGATTTTGAAGTGTTCTATATGGGATTACTCCGATTTTTTGAAAGAGATAAGTGCTTTTTTTTATTTTTCTCGTTAAAATCCCATCAGCCAATCGCCTTAGTACTTGGTAAATATGAGCGAATAGTAGCACAGACAGACAGCAAACCTTTTTTAAAGCATATTACCCGAAAGCTTTTACCACATCCCCTTTTCATGATCCCTATAGTCCACAAAAATGCATGGTTTATGTTTGTTAAGATGAATGAAGTTACTAAGTATGAAAAAAGGTGCCCACTTCACTTACATCGCCAGTATGAGATTAGATGACAAGCACACCCTACTGAGTGAGATCTGTAGACTTTATGACTCATATAGTTTGTAACTAATCGTAATGCATTTCTAAAAATTTCCTGTAACTGTACATTGGTATGGCTCAGTCAAGCTTTTAATTAATAGATTATTTTTACCTATAGAACATATAGAAAGGTAAGTTAATGACATCAAAATTTAAGTGTTTGAAAGGATTTATAGATTGGGTGTATGATATACATTCTAGAAATCTGTATCACCAAGAGAACACAAAGAAATGGATACTAGCATGGTTCGTAGATCGTACACTTATGAAGACAACTACATATATATATATGCACATTGTATTACTGGACACAATCTTATTTCGACTGTAGTATATCAGATTACAGAAATATCGAAAACTAAATCTTACAGCTACACTGGATAAAACGCGACAGTTGAAATATTTCTTTTAATTACTTAGTTCTGGCTATATAATCCTTGGAAAACAACGTTATGATTAATATTTACTCAGCATGCATATTTTTCCTGATGCATAAACATGGAAGCCTCTCAAGAATGAATGCCACAAATCGCAATAAGACGAATACTATTTAACCACTAAATCTTTTTCAACCTATTAGACCTAAATGTGGTTCGGGAACTTACAACTATTAATGTTGCATTTGAGAACTTATGAAAAATAATAGAAACCGACTTCTGATAGTTTCAACATCAAAACTACTTACATTTTGGTCATCAGTATGCGTTGCTTCTCGTACAGATGAATTATCCTCATTCTGTGTATGGACATTTGGTGTTTCTTCAGTCTGTGAGCCAGAAATACTAGCAACAGAACCTTGTGTGCCTGATTCACGAGGTAGTGCATTTAGTGCAGCCGTTTGAGCGGCAGCAGCGACAACTGGGGCAGAACCAATACTTAATCCAAGATTTAACCCTACAGCCGTAGCGAACATCCTGGAAATACCAGACGTTTGGTTAGGTTGAATTGCATTATGAGGTGTAATCAGTGGCTGTACATTATTGACTCCGTTACGATTAGTTGGACCTTCGTTTCCAACATTATTGAACAAGTTTCGAACAAGCATACCAAATGCTACGTTTTCCGACCGTTGTGTCCTGTTATGATTGTGAAGAAGTATAGGAGGTATGCCCAAATCACGCCGACAAGTAGGACAACTTGGGTTCTGTTCAAGCCAAGCACGAAGACAGTGTTCGTGGAAATCATGACGACATGGTAGTCGACGCCAATCTGTCATAACATCCCAACATATTGCACAAATAAGTGCAGATTGATTTTCGTTATCAAAGTAGAACATTTGTGAAGTCTTATCGTCTGTTTCTGTTTTTTCACTAGCATCCTTGGAAGCGACCTAGAAATGGAAATATAGATATGAAAAGCATAGAAAGGACATGAAATTGTCTAAGGAAGTGGACATCGATGAACTTTTTTTGTAACTTAAAACTAATAAAAAGATGTATAGATGAAAAGTCGACAAGCAGCTATTCGCATTCGATTGTGACACTTTGATTTGTATGAATGAGTAAACCAAATTCTCGAAAACTACAAAACCAAGTCACCTAAGTGTTCCTCACCATAGGTATCTGGGTAAGAGCAATAGTGAATAGGGAATAGTTACGAAACTAATGACGAGAAACCAGTGAGTTTAGGGTTTAAATAAAAAATTTAGTGGACTTAAGATATCAAAACATCATTAATATTACTAACTTAATACCAAGTACAGATTCATTAATACATTACAACTGTGAGGACTAGTGACACTGTCTGGTTTACTAAACCAAAGCAAGTGGAGTGAGATTAGAACCTGAGACTAAGTGGCTAAAAATCGAAAATTTTAAACTTTGAGCTACCGCTTTAATGAATCTAAATATAAGATCGATTCGATCATCTCTGTTTTTCCAATACCGCACAGCAGTTCGTTCCATTTTAATTTACAGCTGTAAAGCGTGGCCATTAAGGGTAGAGGATACTCGTAAGTTACTAGTATTTGGTCACAGATGTCTTAGAAAGATTACTCGCATCTGCAGAAATCACTGGGTAATTAAATGAGGTTAGACTCAAGGTATTAGGGAATGATGGTAAATCAGTTGATGATGTACATCTTCATCGATTGAGATGGTTGGGTCACGTATTAATCATCCTCAACCACTGATTGCCACGACGCACAATACTGACAAGCGTTGGAGACGGTTGGAAGAAAGTTAGGGGCGGCCAAACCAAAACGTGGCATCAGTTCTTGAAGCCACTAAATTCTGGTCTGAGCCATGTTGGTAGATGCAGACTACTTGGTTGGGGTCCGTGTGACAATCGTAACCAATGGTTGAGACTCAGAACCGATGAGTCGGTGTATACACTCTTTGTCTTCCCTTAAACCGTGAGATTAAATTGCTTTATAATTTTTATTCTACGAACTAATTCTTTCTCTCTGTATCGCGTTCTTATATGCGGTCTTTTTTATATATTAATACCGTTGAATTGCTTCTATGAATTTGCCGTTCATTTTGTTGTGCTAATGAGTGGCAACTTGGATGGATGCATTTATATGCTGACTGACTGACATTCTAATAGCTCTCATCCTGTAACGGACTTATTCTCGTTGAGTTAATTAGCTCTCCTTCCCAACCTAAATATCCTATTTTACTTGATCTCCTGGTAGATCAATGCCCGAAAATTCAGTCGACGAAAACGTTATTTCTAACATTAGGTCTATGATGAAGTTAAACAAAAATGAAGATAGTGGACAGCCTTGACGGACACCGTTTGAGGTTGCAAAATCAGTTAAGAATTCGCTATAAGCTCTGACTAAACTGGTAGTGTTCGAATAAAGAGCCTTCACAAGGTTTGTTTACTTCTAAACCGCCCGTAGCTGCAAGCTTGACGTGGTGGTCGGGTTTGCCCATCGTAATGAACCAGTCGAGCGATACTGGCTGGAACAATCCTTCATCAAGGTCTTACCATGCCTGACAGGTCGGTGGTAAAGAGATAAGACTGAAGGGCGGCAAGATTGAAAGCGGCAATCCAAAGGTCCGAGGACGAAGTCGTACGTCTGAATGTACAGAGCTGTGGCGGCAGTAAGGTATTCCCTTCAGACAACTAGCATAACAGCGATGATGCCTCCCCGCAAAGGAAGGGTGGGGTTGAAGAAGGTCGATGCTAAAAATGCACACCTCGCCTTATTCCACGGATATCCGTCTCCGGAGGTAGGGTCCCAACGAATACGGAGCTAACACGAAAATCACTCACAAAAAGGTCGTGTGTGGCCGACCTCAAGCAGTTGTCCCTTGGGCACTGCGGTCACGCTCTCAGGTCACTAGGACTACCCCTAACACGATTTCATTCTCAGGTACCTCCAGAAGAATACTTCCTCGGTGTAGGCAACCGGGAAGTGATAATTTCCCTTATACCTCTAAAAACTCAAGATAGATGATAGGCAATAGGAAGACTTTAAACAATCAAGTTAAAGAGCCGTACGAAAGTGAAACGGCACTATCAAATGCGCCAAGAATTAACAGAGGTTGTTAGGTCCCACACAAACGTTTCACTACAAATACTTCTGGAGCGATCGTAGCTGCTACCTTGACGTGGTGGTCGGGCTTGCTTATCGTGATGACACAACCGAGCCATATAGGCTGGAACATATGTTACTGTAGGTTCCACCATACCAGGCAGGTCGACTGTAGAACTAAAAGCAGCAACCCAAGAACTGAGGGCTAAGTATCACCGCTGACTGTAGAAGGGTGTGACAGGAGTAAGGTGTTCCCATCGGGCAACCAGCATCTGCAGTGACGCTGCCTTCTCACAAGAACGGAAAGGGTTAGATGTCAACCCTTAAAATGTCAAACCTCACCTTACCTCATGAATTTTCGTCTCCGGTGGTAAGGCCTTTAAAGAACAGAGCTAACAGGTTAAAAACTTCCCACAAAAAGGCCGTACATGACCAGTCTTACGCAATTGTTCCTTGGGCTCTGCGGTCGTTAAGACCAACACTAATCCAACGTCCATTTCAGGTTCCTCAAGAAATATCATTCCACGTTTTGGGCAGCCGGGAAGTAACATCAGCCCTCATACCCGTAACAATACACGAGACTAAGTTGTTCACAATCAAATCCTTCTTACATCTAATAACTCTCTTATCTCCACAACTAACTCTTTTCACGTTCGTGTATAACCTCACACCGCGAATGCAAACGATTCGAGTACGCGGAACCTTATTCCCGGTCTCCTGAAGCCACGCACTAAACTACATGTAGGAGCTTTCAACGTCCGAACACTGTAAAATAAGACAGCAGGCTTCCTTAGCTAGGACTTTAGTATCTCGCACCATCGATGTGTGCTGCGTCTCTGAGACGCACATACAGGACCCGAGTAGCGTTATTCATTTGATCTCATATCTGGAAGCCCTGATGCTGCTTCCTGTGGCCTCGCTAGTGTACGTATAGCATTGAGTCCTAGGGCAGAACTAGCTCTCCTAGACTGGATCCCAGTAGGAAGTCGTTCGTGCGCTGCCCAACTAAACGGGACAGTGAAGACTCGGACTCGGTTTATACGCCATTTGCTCCCGCAGGATACTGCAGCACAAGTGCATCATTTGTTTGGAATCCGGTTAAAGCGCAGGACATTCGCTTTGCGTCCTCTCATTTTCGTAAACAACACACCCACCACAAGAGGGAAGTCAGTAGGACTTCCCTAGCAGGTGTATACGCTTGACCGTGAGAGCATTTCGAGGGCGAGTCCATTTATCTTGGAAGTCTCGTCAGCCTTTGTAATCGGGCGTGTGACGAAATCTCAGCACAGATACAGAAAACCCGACCAGCGTTTGCCAACTTGCATCATTTATGGTGTACGCGAGATATCCCTCCACCAACCAAAGTACGGGTTTACTGTGCAGCAGTTCGTTCCATTCTACTTTATGGCTGTGAAACATGGCCGGTAAGAGTAGAGGATATTCGTAGGTTACTAGTATTTGACTATAGGTGTCTTCGAAATATTACTCGTATATCCTGGGACCATCGAGTAAGTAACGCAGTTGTTAGGAAACGGGTACTAGATAAGGATGGCAAATCAATTGATGAAGTAGTGAAACTTCATCAGTTGAGATGTCTGGGACACGTGTTACGTATGTGCAACGACCGACTGCCCCGATGTGTGATGTTTTGTGGTGTAGGAGTAGGTTGGAAGAAAGCTAGGGGTGGCCAGACCAAAACATGGCACAAGTCCATGAAGTCACTGACAAGTGGACTGAGTCATGTTGGTAGGTGTAGACTACCTGGTTGGGGACCGCGAGATGACAGCAACCGATGGTTAGAGACCCTGAATGACATGGCTCAAAATCGTTTGCAATGGTGCAGGTGCATCCACTCTTTGTGTTCTCCCAAATTATAATCTTCTGAATTCTTCATGTCCCTTTCTGTTTTCTCTTTCCAAATTTATTTCACTGTATTATACTCTTTAAATAACATGTTCAAACACTAATTTTCCCGAATACTACTTATACTCTTATTACCTCTACCACTACGGGATTTGAATCGGCCACTACATCTGTGTGCTAATGTGGTGTGGCAACTCGAACTGATGTACGTACGTACAAAGTTCTACGTTGTTGCTGACTGACTGAAAAGATAATGAGTTGGTGACAAAGAACATCGGCGCAGATCAATAAACAAGCATGTTAATATAGAGCCTGGCACAAATGTATGTAAGCGAGCAACATAGTCAACCAATTCACCCCCTATTATCAAAGTGTGCGATGAGACAGACCAGTACTCAAGCAACATTTACGGTCGGGCGAAGAAAAACGCGATCTAAACACATTTATATTGCTACTCAGTGTGCCCCCAAATGCCCTGGTACGGTCGAGAGTGGGGAGAGTCCGCTATCCCTCTCGAAACGCTCTCACATGGCCACGTGCATACAATCACTGCCAGGGAAGTCCTGCTCACTGCCTTCTCGCGGCGGGGGTGTTGTTTACGAAATTGAGAGGACGAAAAGCGAATATCCAGCGCGTTAACCGGGTTGGTGGACATGGAGATTCCACCTAGGGAAGTTGGAAAACCCTGATTCCATACCAATGGTGCACATGGGCTTCAGTACCCTGAAGTAATAAATGGCGTATGAACCAATTGTTGGTCACCGGCTACCATGGGACTGCATCTCCTGACGTTGTTCCACTGCCTTGTGGATTAGACCTTAAGGTCAAAGGCTCCGGGTGTGGCCCCCTAAGAAAGCCACCTGCTTCGGTTCGGGCACCCGAGCAGTACCACACCCCTCACACAAATCAAATGAGATTTGTGTGGCGCATATGTATTTGGTGCCTCCTTGTACCAATATCAGTGTTCAAATAAATAAAATAAACCCAAAGCGATCAAAAGACTTCATTTTTTAAGTCTTCACCAAATAGGATTATGTCGTTCAGGTATTCTAACCCAATAAGTAGACCTCCTGACAGATCAATCTTTGAAATGTTAGATAAAGAAAGTGTGGTTTCTAAGAAGGCATCCATGGGGAAATTAAATAAAAAGAGTGATAGTGGTCAGCCCTGATGAATACACATTGAGGTTGACTATTCTGGTAGCAGTTCTTCATAAGCTTTGATTCAATTAATAGTACAAAGTTTACACCACCATACCAACAACCAATCAATTACTTAAATATTATTCAATATTCAAAATATTTTCAACTCAGATAAGTAATTCAGTAGCTATACACAAGTGGATTTCCATTATAACAGCTAGTCTACGACAAGACTACTGGTATATATATACGTACTAAAAGATAACTAGCATTCAAATGGAACAAGTAATTATTCAATGCGAAGTAGTTGCTAGTGTTTACATTTGTTTAAAAAAAATAGTACAATTTGATTAGGAATCAAGCTAACTCACATAATACCCTGTCTTGCAAGCCTGGTAGTTCTCATTGATGTATTTCATTAGTCGTCTTTGTGCTAGGTGGCGAGATATACTGTTAGCCAAGTTTGAGTAAGATACACGTATATGCAAGAAAACAACAAGGCTAGCCACAGAAAACACTCTACTCCATAATAGAAGATGTAGATAGTGCGTTATTTCTGTTAGCCGGTAAAAGCATGTGAAAAAGAGCTCATAATAGTACGTAACTGTTGAATGGTATTGCCAGCTTTGACCATTGCGTAGACACCAACGGTCATATGTCTGTATGATTAATCCACAAACAAGATGTGATATTGTACACATCAGAAGCGCAAACTCAGATATAAGTAGGGCGACAACATCAACAGCATCATACAAAAGCTCCTTTTTCCCTGTTATTTTAGCTTTCAATGCACCCAACACAGTTGGTGTTTTGAGGCCAGTTAAGAAGGAATTCCGTGAATGAAGATCTAAAAAGTCTCCACTAGTTGAGACATCTATGTCTGCCAACGTGAAGCAGTTTTCCAAACCGGCTTTAAGTAAGTACCAATTTGCAAAAGAAATGATAATAAACATACAGTATATCCGCAACCACTGGCGCATGTTTACGGCACCAGAAGCCGACATTTGGTTACATCTGGAAGAAGCCACAGATGTTAACATGTGCAACACACCGAGAATACTGAACCAACAAAGCCATCCCAAGAGACTTGTCAGTCGAGAAGGATTAATTGCGCCGGAAAGTATGATAAAATGGAAAAGAACAAAACGAAAGAGAGACTTGGAAAGGGATACTCTTTCAGCAGATGTCAAGCTTCCAAAAAACATAACTACAGCTACTTTCCAGAGAACCAAAAGAACTGCAAACAGCCCCAGGACAAGTGATATGAAAGTTGATATATTTTCGATTGGTGAAGAAGCATTATCGTCAAGTTCTGAATCTGAACTGGTATCATTTGATAATGTCAATACTTCCAACGTTTCGGAGTTTTCTTCAGGGTGAAGTATGGACTCAAGTACACAAAACGCTGAAAGAATGGCGGAAACTGACAGAAATAAACAAATTTCAGTACGAAAAAGCCACATCACGGCACTCTCAGCAATTCTATAGAACCGTCTGCAATACAAAGTTAACTTATGAATTATCATTCGTTATTCTTGTTGTTTCAAAGACCCAAGACGATTCAATTTTCACTTCACCTCCCGAACATCACGACTCTTAGTCAGGCGTTGAGCGACATGTAGCAAGTATACTTGCAATGTTAGATTAGTGACTAGCGGAAATAATCTTCCTAGCAGAGGTACACAACCTGCAAAATAGAAAACAGGAAGACTAGCATAAGTTTGTTGGATTCCGGATTTTACATAACATCTATAGTCAGACACAGCTTACTGTACCAGAATAAACTGTCTACAGTGCGAAGATACTAGTGGTATGTCTAAATACTACAGACTAAGACTTATTCTGGACCAGTAATTGGAACTTAATGATGTGGTATGTTACAAATGTGGAATTTAAGGCTATTATATCCCAAAGTACTAACAGTTAAAATGGTTGTTGGCGGGACTGAAGTTTTCGTCAAATGCTCTTCCGAGCCTAGAAGAAATGGACCATCAGTGTGATGCAGGTAGGGATCAAATTATACAAAACAACAAGGACTAAGAACACGACATGCTATTTAGAGTTTTACTTTAGGAAACTCCGAGGAATTTGTTTACTCTTCAGATGGCAGTGAATTCATAAACTTGACTACCAGTGAACAGCAAAAGGCAAATCCAGCTCAAACAGCTACGTGGTAAATATGGCTTTTAATTATTTCCCCTAGGATTTTTATGACGACCTGACCTGTAAAAGTGCTCCATAGGATAGTTTCGGGTGGTTATGATGTAGATTTTTCTGACGTCACCTCTAAATCGTGGAGAATTTCGGTGGGCGGCCTATGCTGTTTCGGAGGGGTGGCAAGCGTAAGTCTGGACTATATATTCCGAGGTATAGATCTAATGGCTTCAGGTGTTCCTGGAAGGATCTGAACTAAAAACTTAAGGGTGGTTTGGAGTTTCTCTGTATATACTTGAAAAAGACCATTTGGGTAAAGGGAGGAACCACATTATATTCTATATGGGGCTGAATAAAATTTAAGCGCCAGACAAAGTCTCACATCAAACTGGTCAAAAATGAGCCTTGAGGTTACTTATGTAGTGTTGAGTCTAAAGGCGTTTTTTCACAGTTAATATACGATATCAAAGTTTTCTTAGATCATAAGTAGATTTTTGGCGAATTATCTAGATTTCACGTGCAATCCGTATTATACCTCAAGTATCTTAATTCTCTCAAAGAGTTGAGATTTAGACCTAAATCCCACCAAATTCAGTCAGTAATACACATTCGTAAATATTAGGTTAGCAACTTCAGTGAGTGATTTCTAAAAAAGAAGTCAACAGCCACCGACATGACTAGGAAAAATGTCAAAGTTAGTCTACGTCAGGTAAGGAATTACGATACACCAACACAACGGAACATAACCGACTTACGCACACAGACTTCAGTATATCCCAATGTCCTCTTTAAGTTACAAGGTCATAGTACGCATGTTCAATTTAAAAAGGCTCATAAACAGATTCAGATTTTGTATCGTGAGCGGAAGTCAAACGGGCTTAGTTATTCCTTTTTTAGCAAATTTCTTTGATTGCTTAAACTAAACGCTTCCCGATATATCGATAGTATTTAAAACATATATGAACCTCTGTTTCTGTAATCCGATTTGATTGGGTTGGTATTCTTCGATTATAAATGTGTTACGTGTGAGGGGCTTTGTCAAACTTCGAATACAGGTGGCATCTATATTAGGATACTGGCCTTCGTTGGTAAAGTTAAATCAACGAAATCTCCCTTGTAGGATTCTCGGAATTCGCTTAAAAAACTCCAGCTACTAGCAAATTAGACAAATTGAATACGCAAAGTGTGAACACAATAAAGCTCCTTGCGTTGTGCCTCTAATTTCTGAGCATCACCACAGGGTCTTTAACTACGCTTGCAGTCCTTCTAGAGCTACTGCCCATCTCAAGCCCAGGTAAAGAAGAAGTGATGGGTATGTGGTCGGCAACCATATTTCGTAGAAAAAAACCTTGATAAAAAAACGCCAATCAGAATAAACGGATTAAACAATTTAAACTCTGTCCTGAGAGTTGAAGGAAGAATTTTGACGCCTCATTGTGAAAGATAAGATTCCTCGGAGGAACATGCTGCACACACTCAGGGAGTTGCTCTGATGCTGTCCAAAGAAGTACGTATTGCACTTACAGCATGGAAAAAGCAAGATTTTCAACTACAACACAGAGAACACTAACCCAATCACACTTGATGGAGAAGGTCTGGAATATGTGGAATCTTTCGCGTGGTTTGTCAGCAGCATCATCGATGAACAAGGAGGATCGGATGCAGACTTAAATGCGAGGATTAGCAAAGCAAGGATGGCATTCCTACAATTGAAGCACATATGGAATTCAAAACAACTGTCAACCAATATCACAATGAGAATCTTCAATGTGAACATCAAGATAGTTCTACTGTGTGGAGCTGAGACATGGAGAACTACCACAACCATCATCAAAAGGGTACGAGTATTTATAAACAGTTGTGTGCGTAAGATACTGAATGTCCGTTGATCGGATACCGTCTGCAACACCACTCTGTGGGATAGGAAAGACCAGCTTCGAGGTGAGGTGGAAAATGGGGGAAGACGTTGGAGGTGGATAGGACGTACATTGCGGAAATCACCAAGGTGTATCACGAGACAATCGCTAACTTGGAATCCTGAAGGGAAGCGGAAATGAAGAAGTCCAAAGAACACAATACACCGAGAATTGGTTGCAGGCATGAAAATGATGAACAGCAACACGAAAGAACTAGAACGGATTGTCCAAGACAGAGTTGAATGGAGAATCTTGGTGGGCGACCTGTTTTCCATCAGGGAGAGTAACTGGTTTAACTAAGTAAGTATTCTATGAACTAGTTAAAATTAAGGCTGAGCCATGTTGGTAAGTTTAGACTACATTGTTCGGGTTCGTGTGAACAATGGTTAGAGATTTCCAATGATATGGCTCAAAATCCTTTTCAATTGATCTGCTGCATCCATTCTTTGTCTTTCCGCTAATCTGAAGCTCTTGAATTCTTCAAAATTTTTTGTCCGTTTTTACTTCAGCATTTAATAGGTGAGGTGGAAAATGGGGAAAGACGTTGGAGATGGATATGATGTACTTTGCGGAAATCACCTAGGTGTATCACGAGACAATCGCTAACTTGGAATCCTGAAGGGTAGTGGAATTGAAGAAGTCCGAAGAACACACTGAATCAGGAATCGGAAGCAAATATTAAAGAAAGGATTGTCCAATATGGATTTGATTGGTGAATGCTTTTTAGTGGCCCATGATACTCCATGTGTTGTAGCAGTGTAATTCGTGTGGTTTAATGTAAAAAACCTCGTGTTAGTTTGAAGCGATAAATAGGTTCCAAAATAACTTGTCCTGTTAGTCTTGGAAGTTGACGTTGCTGTCAGTAATTTTACTGGACGCTCCTTTAGCGGAAGTACTAGGTCCTACAACTGTACTAGATTAGCATGGGGTACTCCATGCCACGTATTTAGCAAAATCTGGTTGGTTCAAGTCATGATGAAGCAAATGGATGTTGAAAAGGAATTTAGGATCGATGATATCATTTTTGGCCAAAGAATTCTAGTGATTTGTTTTTAATAACCATTTTGAATGAACTCCTGCCTATTCCAAAGTGTTCATTTTGAATTGATGCTAATGTGTTATTAAATTTTAATGCATTGTCTACGAATATGGTCGATAATCATACCAATAGTTATGATTATTGTGAGACACAACTCAGGCCTTAGTTCCAAAAATGTTTTATTGGATGGTGGTTATATTGGTAAGCAGATATTTAAAAAACTTAGTTCGCATATATTTTTAAAGGATGTATGTACCAAGAAGTGTGCCTGACTGGTGAGATATGTCATAATGGTGAGCGACATTTATCTTATACAAAGTTTCAGATTCGCTTTTTGGAAGGTGTGTTCCTGAAAATGTTCAGCACGAGTTATTTGATGCTACCTATTCACAAGTGCACAAAATAAAATCGCTTCCTTTGTTTATTCGACCAGAAAACTACAACTGGGCTGACACAACCCTTCAATGTTTGTTAAGAACAATGATTCTAGAGTATGAGTAAGCTGGTTTAAAATCAGGTGTTTTCACTTTGTGCACATTTTTGGTAGTCGATAATGTCATTTGAAAACGAAGAAAAACAGGTCATTATCTTCCAAGATCTGTCAGAGTGATGAGATGAAAGCCATTCATTTGATATATGCATTCTCTTTACGCAACGTCAGTCTGAATCTTCTGGAAAAATACTATATGCATATTTTTATCTCGGGATATCGTTTTATAAATTGGATGCTTATTATTTTGCTCAACTAAAGTAGAAACTTTGTGTATGGTAATTTTTTCAGTGTTACTAGCCACTATTTTGAGTTCTGAAAATGTGTATTTGCGAATGGTCCGACGTGCGGTAATGTGAAATTTCTGACAAATGTTTACATTCAAATTATCAGAACAGTTTGAACGATACAGTAGTAGAATAATATTTAATAGGAAATTCCCTACTGCGCTTATTGTAGTGTTCCTTCGCGGTCCGTATGAGATTACGTTAACAAATCGTAAATCACGTATGTATGAAATTAATTAATTTCATAGCACTTGGGTGGCAGTATGTTGTGTTTGAACAGTCAGAAAGACGACACCCGAGACTAACATTAGGACTAAATAACCTGGTATATTTTTATCAGCTAGATATAGTAAGTAGGCTTTTTATCTAGAAAACTAAATAAAGTTAATCCATTTTTATGTAAAACAGAGTTGGTTAACTGACGCAATTGAAAAGCGATTTTCCAACTGTCTGGGCTAGTCATTATATCTAACTAAGATACTTTTTTAAAAATTCATCACACGTTTTTGAAGTGTCTAATGAGACACCATATATTATAAAAAATTTTATTCTTAAAATACGATTACTTACATTAAATTTCCTTCTGGTAGATCTTACAGATTGTTTAAGTTTTTGAGATCTTGAATTTAGTACCAACGTCCTGTTTGTAAGTAATTGATGCTTTGAGGAGAAGCGGTCTACAAACCGATCAACAATGTTATCATTTGATTATTAAGGAGGTGGTTATTGTTGTAAAGACATTCATGACTATATACTCTTGTGGGGCAATTTATAGTCAAACTACATAAGGTTAATGAACTCTGCCTTTTCCTTGTGTAATTTTTTGTGCACTTCAGCCGTTATGTTTTCCTCAAAATTTTATTACTTACCCAATCAGTTCTATGGTTTTTACGGTGATAAATCACTTGTTACTTTTTAACAGTTCAGAATTCCAAAGAAAATTCAAGATCTTAGTCAAATTTTTGTATATACTTTGCAACAAACTCGACATATTTTTACTTGAAAGAAAAATCGGTATATAGACATATTACTAAGGATTTCATGATTGCTGATATATTTGGTTACTTACAGAGTGACGAATGGTCACAACGATACAGTCACTTAATCAGCCATTTGCAGCATGACTGAATAAATAATCCGATATCTAACAGCTCTTTAAAAAACTGTACATTAATGCCAAATAGCATTCAAAAGCTACGATTTATTCCCGCTTACATTAATTCACATGGAAAACCGTGGAAATATGTTTGATTGAAAAATGTTTAATATGTTAAAGAGGAGACATATGAGGTACACGACACAATGTCTAGAAACTTGCACTAGAATGAATTATCAATCAGTAAACACTGACAAGCAATTAGAAAAAATCATGAGCAAACATAGGATCCATTGTCAGGTTAAATCGAGAGATTATCCGAACAAGATAATGGAAAAAATAACCAGTTAAAACCAAGGTTAACGAGATAAGTTATCGGCAGTATGCGGAAAAAAATCGAATTGCTCACGTCTACCAAAAGCTTGTTCGGATGGTGCTGTTTGGAGGAACAATGAAAGCCTCACAAATAACCATCCACCTCTGCGAACAAAATTTTGCTCAACTCATCCATCAAATCAGCAGATATTCATTATCTCAAAGCTGCAATTTGACTGAAAAAGAAAGCATAAATGTCCGTGAACACCCAAATAGTTATCACTAGTAACTAGCTGAATGAGAATGACAGTGGAATATATTCTATACCTGTCTCGTTATACTTCTTTGTTATTAAAACAAATTTATAAGCTGTTCTGAATAAATTTTAACATACAGATTATAGTATAATGGATGAAGTGTGTAGTGAGTGTAATAATGCAAGTTTTCTAACTAAAGTTTAAGCACAACGCGTACGTACATTTGTAGACATCTTTAAGATCAACTTTACCATACATTTATAAATAAAGCTGACACCCATTCCCAAAAGCAAACGACGCTTATATTCTACATATCTTACTTAAAAAGTGATAAAAATACGTCATAACCTACTATGATTTTGGATACTCAGATTTCACTAAAATAGAGTTTTACGACTGATATTTGGTAATAATTTCTAAATTACTTCATAATCATAATTGAGTAGTATCAAATGTTAGCTAATGCTCTAGAAAATAACATTTTGATTCATGAAATAGTTTTGGTGCGTCAGATTATAATTCTTTCGTAAATTTCTTTTATTCAATCCGGCACCTAACATTCTCAGTCGAGTTGACTACATCTTGTTCATCTAAACATTATAAATCGCCGTTTTCTTTAGATGAAAATTTCGATATCCAGACTCATGTTCTGATCTATTTGGATATTTATCTTTGCTAAGAGTTTGTACAATAGATTTCTAAGAAAAAGGATCATTTTTACAAAATAGGTAATGAATAACTACACAGCTTCAAATATTAGCGACAATCAGCAGTAATAGTTTGCTAATTAAACAAGATTTCAGGTTTTACTCGTTATCATGATAATTGAGATACTCAGCGAGATGCGTAATAGTATATATGTAAATCCCAGCAGTAACTGAGGTAAACCAACGTTATTTTTAAATTATATTTCTCGCCTAATTTAGAAGGATTTCTGCAATTTGACTGGCTTACATGATCGCTTATTCTGGTAAAAAAATTTGTCAAAACTAGTACATCCTAAAACATTTGTCATTGAGATATTTTATCAGGGCCCTCAACTGAATAGATTGAGCTGAGGAAAAAGATGTACTGGGGTTACTTTCCAAAACTTAATATTCAGATAAACTTCACTGTTATTAAAAGTTTTATAGATGTTTGCAGACAGTATTTTCATGAGTAAAAATGTTTGGCTCTGATATAAACGCGGATGACCATTAAATGGCATGCAACTTATTTCTGAGTAGAGCGATTTACGCTTGCTGGCTCGTAACTTTACTTTAATATGTTTTTTAATCAAATATAGTATATGGAATACTGCTGTGTAGTGTTGTTCAACTCAGGGACTAAATATAGTTTCTTGAAGTTTTATCATTGGTGGGTGCTGTTAATCTCAACATGAAATTACTTGATATTTGCTAATCAGACCATCCAAGAAGACACTTTCAAAGTTTACATGGAATAAGGAAAGCAAATGATGCAAAGCTTCTTGAAGAGAAAATTTTTATGTTAACTTATGAAGTTTGAGCCTTTACGGTTTTCCGATTGTCTAATATACAAAACTTTTATTATTGTTAAAATCGTTATTGTATCTCAATAAAAAACACAGTCAATGGAACGGTTGATTTAGTTTCTCAATGATGGTAAATTTTTAATGTTTACCTATAGTGTTAATGAACAAAATTAGATGCTGTTATGTTTGGTAAACTATAATTTATTTGAAGGGTGATGAAAAGCATATCTTGAATATTGAGAGAAATTAAAATCCCTACTATATAAGATAGAAAAAAACATACAAATAGATGTGAAAAATCAGGTACCATCAAATCTCAGTGTCTTTCAATTAGATCCTCTTCAATTGTGAATAAAACTAGCCCATTTTCCGATGGAATTCATCACATCGCACTTCTCGATTTTAGTAACTCACTTCATAGTCAGTAGGTCAAAATTGAGTGATTAGTACTTTTGGACTTTTGTATCACTGTGATGGTGGCTGGAAAAAGTTAATAGCAGGCCTGAAACCTAAGTTTGACGACGAGTGGAACTGATCGAAAAAGATAATTTGAAATATTGAGAAAATTGATACTTCTCCATAGCTCTGAAACAGCACAGCCAATTCCTACAGTACTTTTAATACCTTTTATGTTTAGTTCTGGGACTTTTTGATTTACTTGAACCCTGTCATTGACAGTAATGCAAATAAATGAGTTAGATTACTTCTTTTTTTTTCAAAATACATGAAAAAAGTAAACATTTCTGACTAAATGTTATTGATTTACATCATATTTTGCTTATCTTCTTCGTATAAAGCAATTTGTTTACTGACCAAAGTTGTTCAGCTAGTCATTCAATGCTTACTTTCTTGCGTTTAAATGCAATTGGTCCTTATCCATGCAGAAATAGAAAGCTGCATTATACATAAAAGGTTGTGTTTAGATTATGTGACTATCACCGAAGGCTTTTTATTCATACAGTATTTATCAAAATTGTAATTCTTTCGAAATCGATGAACAGAATATAATTTAGGCAGTATGTTTGATAAGTTTTTTGTTATGTCCATTGTATTTAAATATAACTTACTGATATGAACCGCCAATGACGTTTTGTTATTTATTTTGTTTCACTTAAGATATTTGGCAAATTCTTATCACAATTCGAAATTATTATTTTTTATACATCAAGACATTATAAAAAGTGTTATATTTACTGTACAATTTACAGATCTCATTCAATCTTTGTTGACCCCAAATCGTTTTGTTTATACCAGTATGATATAGAGGATGGTGATAATATTGATGGTCAATTCCGTAGCCAGTATGTAAAACGTGATGTAAGGAAAAATCGTGGATATCCAAATTTTATGCTTAGCAATCCACTGAAAACTATAGAACCTTATTATTTTCCTGAAAATTCATATGAACTTATGGATAATGACAATAACTATAATCGGTGGATTGATAGTCCTATTAATAAAGGAATAAATGCAGAAATGAAGAACAATGAAGAATTAGATCATTTCAGTAAAAAATTTCAGAAAATGCTACGTTTATCTGGGAATCATCAAAGAAATGAGAACATAGAATCTAACAGAGAACAAGAATTAGCAAATAAAGTGATGGATGATTCAAATAAAGACAATGGTGATATGGCTGCCAAATTATATCAAGATGATTATCTACTCTCAGGCAGTAAGTAGTTTAATTGAATTTGGGAAAATGTTTAATAATCTTATGACAAGATCAAAAAGTAATTTTGACGATGACTAGGCTACATCTGAACAAGTATTTTGTATTACAGAATGGCGAATATGTACGGAAGACTTTTCATATGGCGAACATTTAATTTTTAGACTTCTTAGAGGCACACCAGCTTTTGATATCTTAACGTTACTGTACTGCATAAGCAATTATTACTCAGTGTTTTATAATTCGAATTTAAAAGAAAAATATTTTTGCTCGTCAATTGAATTTCTGGATAGTTTCCATCGAGAAAACCAATGACTTATGAGTCTTTGTAAAACAGTATTCAGTAATCATAGACATTCAGAAAATATTTCACTCACTTAAAACTATAATTTGACCAATAATGAATATGTAATGTTTTATCGATCCACCAACAAATATGAAATCTTTAAAAAATGTATTTTCAATGTTTATAGCTGTTTCTAATGCTGTTGAGAAACATTGGAAACAGGTGATGTACTTAGATATGAAACTAATGTTTTTATCAAAACAATGCTGCGATACCTTAAGAGCTTTGAGACATTCCAGATCTTTATCTTATGATTTTAAAGTTAATTAGATTATAGGGATAGTAGAAAAACAAATCATTTTGCTAAAGTGTTCCATATTCCCCAATGGTAAAGGTTTATTTTGGAAATATCTTTTGACGAAACTGTAACAATGATTGGTTACACGTAACCGATAGTATTGTGGTGTATACTACTTATGTCGACATATATATATATATATATATATATATATATATATATATATATATATATATATATATATATAAAGTTGTTTCCTGTATTGCACCGAGTTTAAAGCATATCCAGTGCGCGTACATGGTACTGAATCTGATGGTTTTAACAATTCAGTTAGTTTCTGTATAATATTTATCACAAGTGTATAACAACTAAAGTTATTCAAACTAAGGAATACTGAACAATAGATTGTAACATAAATGTATTATTATGTTGTGTACATGGTTACAGGTTTCTTAGTAATTTAGAAACTGTATTACCCAACACTAGGCTTCTCGTTTCAGGGGACAGTTGAAGTGAGAGACTTAAGAAATATGCTTAATCTCTCGCATCAATTGTTCGATTTCCATTAAGTTAACTGATTGGGCAATTTAGGTTCATTAGAAACATTAAGATTGTTTATCCAACATAAAGTTTGGCAGAAATTTCAAACTATTCACATTACCCAAATTTCGTAGAGTTTTGATTCTACCAACAGTTTACTGAAGAGTTATTTAATATTAGTTTTTAGGAAATTTATTGAGCAATAGACTGAAAATTTGAAATTTAGCCAACGTGGGTTGAATTCGAGCAAATTATACGGCACAGATATCTGTTAGAAATTTAGAAACGTCCTTCTTGAAATGAACTAATTAAGAGTGGTGGATCATGACTATTCAGCTTAGTAGTTTGTGAATGGTCGTCCCTATAACTAATATCACTTCATAATGAAACCTCTGAAATATAGAATTTTGGCGAACTGTAGCTTATAATAAACGTAGTTAGTCGATAAAAATGATAATTTTGAAATCTGTCTTGTAAAACCTAAGCAGTAAATACCATCAGATTCGAGTTTAGAAAGAATGAGTTATTGAAAGCTTCTACTGACTTCACATTTTGTCGATTTCATCAATTCCTAAAATGTTCAATATTAATTGGGAATTTATGACCGGTTAAAATCGTTTAAATAACTACTAAGAATTATTTATTGAGCGATTCATATGATTTTGGATATTAACATTGAAGCTGTAATTAATCAATAGGAAAAAGTCTATTAGAATGAGATTATCATTAGGGATAAATATGGGACAGACAGGCTTGATGAACCAGTAAAAATGTTTGTACTTCTGGTAATTCAGAAAAAACTCTACCTCCCAATTATTTTCATAATTTCTCACCTGTTTCGTTCATAAATAGAACTAAATGCTCAATAAATCAATTTCAAGAAGTACTCTCATTTTATAAATGAGATGATTTGCAGTTTTAGCAGATACATGTATTTTTTCTATCAGTGTTTCATTAAACCCAGAATTTGAATTCCAGTAGTACCCACTAAGAATAATATTGTCCGACCGGCCATTTTTTTTAAAAAAAAAATTTCCACCCCCAAATTACAATATTTTTCATCCCGTGTTTCGTCCAATGAAATGGCTAGTTTCAAAAATTAGATTTAATTGGTTAGTTATGTCTTGAAAATTGTTATAAATTATCAGTACTTGTCGACGAAGCACCATCTCAATCGTCATTATGGAGCAGAGTAACGTGCCGAGTACAAGCGCTGGTGTTTCTCACGTAACGGAAATGGAGGAAGTCTTTTTGACTACCTTGTTTCTGGTTGCGTTTCCATCGGTTGAAGCGTTAAAGACCACTATCACAAATTTTGAAAGATCGACTTACAGTCATTATGTAGTGAGAGATTCGCATATTGGCAGAGATCAAAAATCCTACATTAAATTTGTGTGTTGGCGAAATGGGCGTATAAGATCTAGCGGTTCGTCACAACGTATTTTGAAAACTTGAACATCTGAGGGAAAGCTCGGAATCAATTAGAAGATTCGGACTTTACAGATGACCTGGCCCTTCAACCCCATAACCACAAACAAGTACAAGTCATGACAAACGGTGTAGCGGAAGCCTGTGCATCAGTAGGCCTTGACATACACAAGGGAAAAAGCAAGATTTTCAACTACAACACAGAGAACACTAACCCAATCACACTTGATGGAGAAGGTCTGGAATATGTGGAATCTTTCGCGTGGTTTGTCAGCAGCATCATCGATGAACAAGGAGGATCGGATGCAGACTTAAATGCGAGGATTAGCAAAGCAAGGATGGCATTCCTACAATTGAAGCACATATGGAATTCAAAACAACTGTCAACCAATATCACAATGAGAATCTTCAATGTGAACATCAAGATAGTTCTACTGTGTGGAGCTGAGACATGGAGAACTACCACAACCATCATCAAAAGGGTACGAGTATTTATAAACAGTTGTGTGCGTAAGATACTGAATGTCCGTTGATCGGATACCGTCTGCAACACCACTCTGTGGGATAGGAAAGACCAGCTTCGAGGTGAGGTGGAAAATGGGGGAAGACGTTGGAGGTGGATAGGACGTACATTGCGGAAATCACCAAGGTGTATCACGAGACAATCGCTAACTTGGAATCCTGAAGGGAAGCGGAAATGAAGAAGTCCAAAGAACACAATACACCGAGAATTGGTTGCAGGCATGAAAATGATGAACAGCAACACGAAAGAACTAGAACGGATTGTCCAAGACAGAGTTGAATGGAGAATCTTGGTGGGCGACCTGTTTTCCATCAGGGAGAGTAACTGGTTTAACTAAGTAAGTATTCTATGAACTAGTTAAAATTAAGGCTGAGTTTAGACTACATTGTTCGGGTTCGTGTGAACAATGGTTAGAGATTTCCAATGATATGGCTCAAAATCCTTTTCAATTGATCTGCTGCATCCATTCTTTGTCTTTCCGCTAATCTGAAGCTCTTGAATTCTTCAAACTTTTTTGTACGTTTTTACTTCAGTATTTAATGTTTTCATTCCTACTGTTTCTTACTCTACTACTCAGGTATTAGAGCATAAAATTCGATCGGTGTGTGCTAATGTAGTGTGACAACTTGAATCTATGTATGTATCTATTAGGTTCCGCTCTGCGACAGATTGACTGACTGTGAAACCTAAGTGACTGCAAAATACTAATTAAATTTGTGAATGCACACTGGCAGTAAAAGGCATCAAGAAGAAATACTTTTTATCACTGACAAAGATTTTTGTTTGGTTTATTACTTCTATGGTATGCTTCAATTTTTTAAAGTTGAAGGTGACTTTCAGTCAAGATAGTTTGAACAGCAGTCGAAGTGAAAGCTATGATCCTCTGATCAAAGAGAACAAATATGTGAAAAGATTTTCAGATGATTTAGATGAGTCAAAGAAGTTACACTATATTTCACAGCATTGAATAGTTATTTTAAGGAAGTATCTTTACAGTCAAACTTAAGAAATGTTTTTATAACCGAATTTCGCTCAACTTCTAAGTAGCAAAGCATATGTTAAAATAGTAGCTTAGAAGTAAAGTTAAATTTTTGTAATTTTGTTCAAATTATTATTTCTTGCAATTTATTTATAATTAGGACGTTAGACTTAAAAAACTCCGATCTATATTAGGTATTCCTATATTTAATATTGTTCTGATTATTCTTTAGTATATTTCAATCACGGGCTAATGATTTTGACTTCATCTTAAAAACTGCGGTAAATCATCGATTACTGATAAATATCTATGCTATTTTCAGTTACATAACATTGTCCTGGTTGACTGTTGTTCACAATTTGAAAATATGAACTTCACATTACGGATAATGAACTTACTTAACAAAACGATATTTATTCTTCATTAAGTAAGGGTATAAACAACTCGAAAATAATATATGGCAAAGTTGATTGTCAAGTTAAAGAAAGTCAACTTGGTTTCCGTTTATCTCATAATCAGTTTAGAAAGCATTCACTAATGGGTTTTTTTTGTCAACTGAATAGTTTGAATGAGCCTGTTATACTTCAGCTGTTAAAACGTATAACTTACAGGATTAGTCATAACTACTTGAATAATGTATAGGAATTACTGAGTACTTTTAAAGAATACAGAAAAATGACTAACTCAACAGTCAAAGCAGTGGAAACACCTTTGTAATACACAGTCTTGAAACTCACGTTGATTGGATTTGTTATATCCTAGTGAAGATTAAATTATGAGTAACTTCTGAGACCTATTATTGAACTAATATTATTTATATATACTTATGGTATAACCATCCAGTAACTAGATTGTGTATATTTATATTCCTCTTATTATAAGCCTTATTTTGACCTATAATTTATTATTTTACGATTTACTGTTCTTAAATTATACTCAGTTTATTAATTACTGTCTCCCACGTTCATAGCCACTTTGTGGCTTTATTGTGTATAAATGTTATTTCCAATTTTATGGTGAGATGAGGTCTCATTGGCTGGTATATAAACCAAGTATGTCTGAAATAGATGATTCGCAGAGCGGAAGTTGTTATTGGTGTTTTGGACTCAATTGGACGGGCTAGGCCAACATAGGACCAATGAGGACTCTAGGCTGATCAGACCGGTTGAGCGTCATTGGTTTAATACAGTAGAAGAGTGAATAAACCGTATTTTGATTGGCGAATAAGTTACGTGATAACTAGCCGAACTTAAAGTCACACCAGGATTCCACTATGAATGAGTGGGAAAATAGAAACTGGAACATTTGTAAGCTATTCTTTACTGAATCAGCATATAAATAATTGATTTGTAGTATGTTGGTAATGTCTTAACTGTAAGCTTTCATTTGACTCATTAAGTGTTGTTATACGTTTTTCCATTCAAAAATTACTAATAATCAACGATAAACTTCTTATTTGGATTTGTAATATGAATGTCTTATTTCGTATATAGTGTGATTTATTATTCACGGTTCATCATAGTCTTGTACTTCGTGCATATAAACGCCTGGATTTTTCAGCCTGAATAATACAAAATAGTGCAAGGGACATTTCTCGGGGTTCTGGTTGGTAACTTAGGGAGCGGACTGAGATATTTCACTGTTTATCGTTCGTTTTACAATATCCATTAACTGCGTTAACTGATTGATATCTAATGAGGCCTAGGCAGAGCACAGATGTAACAGACTCAGTTGTGAGAGATTAATGTGGTTACCGGTAATGTTTTAATGGGTATAATTTTAAAAAGACTATATTAAATGCTGTAATTGATCCTTTTGATAGATGAACTGAAACACAGTAGTTTTTTTTAACTGCTTAGTAGTGCACAGTATTCTTCTTCCAAGAAGTAATTCAGATATTTCAAATAATAATCTATCATTAACTTCCGTTGAAGAGACTCAATACCGCTTTAATATTCAATAAAGTAGTTATACTGAATCTTGAATTTAATGTGATATAAGCATGAGTGGATTGGCATCTCCCGACTGACTGGTATTCGAAATCCAACAAGTATATTGATTATTCAAGGCTGGAATAACATTAGTAATGTACTTAACCCCGACATTGAATGGCATATGTTGATAATAACTTAAAGACTTTTAAATCTTTTATAATTAAAAATATATCTTATTAATCAGTGCTAATGTTTCACAAACATGTGCTTGACACACTTCTGTCCTCTCGGTATATTGGGATAGATACATTCTAGTTATATACTTTTTGTCTCACTATCCTCTTTCACTATTTTATATTGGTCAGGTAGTTTATCGTTCTCACGTCAAATATATTTTCAACATGTATACATGCATGTGTATAATTAAGACTGACTATAGTGCTGTACTGTTGAGCTCAGAAAGCCTTATTTTTTCACGATAGAGTTATATCAGAATATTGTTTAGTTGATCTAACTTTGTTTCACATTTGTTGGCAAGGGACCTACATTTAATTTGTGTTCTAATGCTAGGTGATTGAAGACAATCAACACAAACATCCGGACTCTGGTTTTGTGCTTGTTATAATATCTCTTATTATGAATGAGCTACTCTTATTGCTTAGTGTTCTTTAAACACTTAGATTCACTCGACAAGTCCCCGAATCAGAAAACAGATGAAAACAAGATGGAATAGTGAATCACAATAAGAAAAACTTTAGTGTATTCATAATTTAACAAAAGAGCATTCTACAGTTTTCTCCAAGTATCCGCTAGCACTACATGTCCAAGAAATATCTAATCAGTGTGGCACAACACAATCCTGAACGCAATATTTGTTAATCCAATCTATACACCTATACCAGTGATCGTCAAGACTAGTCAGTGAAACGTATCTGTAATCGTCAAGGAAGTGACAATCTTCAAAGTGTATGAGCCTGCGTCAACCAATGTCATATAAACAGTACCACTAATCTATTTAGCCTGTATGGGTAGCTCTCGACTACGTGGCATTAAAATATGTTAAGTTACTTAGATTAGTGAGGGGTTTTCAACAAAATCGATGGAATCTCATTTTGATTAAGAACCAGAAAAATATGATATTCGTTAGAATTAAGAGATCACTTACTTTGTTTGCGAATTTTATCTTAAAGGACTATTTTTCCCTCATAGAAACTCTTATCTTTTTGTGCTATGTAACATCGGTTTTAGTCTAGAATAAATTTGGTTTTCCTTGAATATAAATAAAATGCATCGTTAGTTAATAGGTTTTCATAAATATAATAGAGAAGTCAGTCGGGTAATTTGTCAATATTTTCTCAATCTCTTTAGAATTTATTTGATTAGCATAATGATTATATTTTCATCCCACGTATTCATATTGTACGCATTACGCACAAAATATTTTATCTCTGCTATTCTAATATCTATTGACTTCGTAGAATCAACATCATTCCCATAACCTTGAGCTTGAAATCACATTGCACATCGAATGTAAATCGCTATTTCTTCAATGAACCAATTATTTTAAAGAAAAATACCTTCACGATCACTATATATATATATATATATATATATATATATATATATATATATATATATATATATATAAATTCTTAAGCAGAAATTTCAGTAATTACTAGTATTCATCAACAAAATTCATCTAGAATGCTATGACATAAATATCTCTTTAAACTAGCTTATTTCAAAGTCATATATCAAATAATACAACTTTTAGCTTTGGATGACGAAAAATTGAAAATATGTTAAAATTAGTAATAACGATACTGAAATTCAGCTTACTAAAACTAGCGCGTTTCTTTTTGAGAGCAATGTTCAGCACAAATTTCTTCACCAACATCATTTATGAATCAATAGCATTATAAGGTGGTCTGTTGGCATAGTAACATATCATTGAAACTTTTTTGTTACTCATACAGTAGCTCATTAGGTACAAGTCTGAGGATCAGAAATCTATGCTTTTGAAGAGATCTAAAACAAGTTGAAATAATTTCAACTTCATTTTTGTTTTTTTCCCAGATATTTTAGTGTCGGCGTCTACTTTTGTTTGGTTTTAACTATTATATTCTCAAATGTCTGTACAATAATCTTTTATGAACTAATTTTTCTGAGTCAAAGAGTTTTTTTAATTATACAGTTGACAGTTTTTTCTGCTGTTTTGTTTGTCAGTGATTCGTATGATGTCTGCGTTTACTTGTTCAAAACTTTTGTTTTAAAAATAAAAATATCACGATTGAATTATAATTACCTAAATATGTATTTGTTTGCTTTGTTTTTAAAACAAGGTTATTGGAAATTTATCACATGTCATTTATCTAAAAAGTTCGTAAACTTAAGCGATTCCGTCAACGTAAAAATGTGTTTAAAAACATTACGTCATTGAAACTAGAATTGTTCTCTAGCTTGACTACAAAATGTTTATCTATCGGTAAATTATGTGATTTTCTCATTTATAGAGAAATTGAAAGTTTGTTTTCTTCACTTATCTGTCTATTCCCTTTCCTGGTTGAAGTATATATTTTTTCGAAAATAAGTTATTCACTTAAGAATTCAGATGGTTTCATATTGTTAATTTTTTTTGACAAATAATTCATTCAGAATATATGCAAGAACCACTACTTGGTGAAACGTTACCTTCTGAATTCCAAACACAACAACAAGAAGAAATGATCATGCCATCAAAATCAGTCACTAGGTTACGTGCACAAAACATGGGGTCTGGATCATATAAACCATTGGAACGTAGATGGATTTGGATTAAATTTTTAAGTGGACCGTAAGTTATTGTAATGTTCAAATAAAAACTAGCGTCTTTCTCCATTAATGCTGACTATTTCATAGTTTGAAGATAAAATTTAATTACTTAAACGCTTGACTATCTCTGATGTAGAGGTCAAAACTGTCACTATGCTACTAGAAAAGAAAGAGGTTAATATGGACCAGTTTTTATGAGTGAGTGGGCTGTTAGTCTAGTCATGATCTCGGTCAACATGTTCTTGTTCTTCTAGAAACCGGGAACTAAGGGTGACGTGAGGACATTATTATTTTACTTCTGGGAATAATGTTTCTCACATAATCTTGACCCGCTTCTTCTTTACAGCTGACTAGTCAACAGTTATGAATGTGAACGTGACTGAATTGAGACTACATAACATAACGGTTTTCGAGATATTAAAAGATTTAATTCACTTCACGTCCCAATTTCTATGGCCCTTAATTATTTGATCTTTTGGGAAGGATAAAGCTTACATTTTGGCACGTTTGTAGTCAAAATATGAGTTTTCGTTTCTTCCCAAAGTCTAGAATACTATATTTAGCGATTATACCTAGTGTAACTGTAGTGAACACGAGCACCAGTGAGGACATTCGAATGTGTTTAACACAAAATTACAGGACTTGTTAATAAAATCTAACAATCATAAAGTAAATGCTTAGTTCGCAAAATGTCCGTCGATTGTCTCAAAATGACTCAGACTTCATTGTTCTTGCATTTTCATACAAATTGCATCCTGCTTCCATTCTTTACTGTTCGATCCTCTTGTCTCTCTGCTGCCAGACCTTCTGTTCACGACTAACACCATATACTACTTATGTCAATATAAGTAGCAAACACCACATAACCACATATATGTAATCGAATTTAAAATTATCATGAAGCATATTTCATATCTAGGAGATTCTTAAAGCCTCACAACATCGAACAAGTTTTTTTTCTTTTAAATGTAATTAACGTATTTAACAACTGGTAGAAATCCACTGTGATTATCATAAAACCTATTATCATAACTGGTCTATAATTAATCGGTTATTTTCATACGAGCTAACATATCTCTTTATAAATGTAGACCAATGTTATAAATCTAACTAGGAGTCATAAATTATTTCCTCAATATAGGTCAACCGTGAGAGTTAAAATAAGAAAGTACACATTTTCCTCCCTCCCAGATATAAATAGAAGTTGAACTAAGAGAAATAGAATATCTAAGAAATAAATTTTTATTTTTAAAATTTAACCGAACCAACTTCGCCAGGTTATATTTCTTAGTGAAATGCCTTGCTTGGGCTGAAATACCAAATAACCATGAAAATAAGAAAATAGCTTGTCCACGGTATTAAAAGTCGACATGCAATAGTCATGAACAAACAATTTTATAAGATTTTGGCTACTTAATATAACATAATATAATCATCAACAAGACAATTAAAAGCGAAATCGTCAAATCACTTGACAAATATGATATCTGCTGCATGTTAAGTATCTACACTAAACTGACTTTTTTCAACAAGAACCAACCAAGCGATAAGTTTGGGTAGGTCAGTGATAGTCAAGAAACCGATATTTCCTGTAAAACTTAAGAAATTCCAAGTTCATCAAGAAATAATGCGCAAATATATATCAAAGCAAAATGGTATATTCATCAATAAATATGAAAACTTGAAGAGTATTTTATGGCTTATCACACCTGCAGTATATTATATCTTGAGATACTAAAGAAGATCTAAAGCTCAGACAGATTTCACTGAAATTATATTTCCTAAGCTGGCTACTTCAACCGCAAAGCTTTAATTTGCTTTCTAAACAAAATTATTAGGACGAAACTTAGAAGTTTATCCTGAATTTACTGTATGAAATGAAAGTTTGACGACTAAACCGTTTGGCTCAAAAAACACAATTTTAAGAACAAAACCAAGTCGGTATTTTTTTAAATAGAAAATTTGACTTTTTGACTTCTTGACTTCATGTAATATGCATCTACATGGCCAAAATATATTGTTTAATCCGTTAGAATATCAATTGGGCACTTTTATCGTACAGTATAAAATTCATTTGACAGTAATTCATTAAAGAAATAAAACTATATAGTTTACTCAGTTAAAATTGACAGTTCCAGAAAATTAATATCACAATTCTACTAGTAAATTAGAATGTTAATAGATCAGTAATTTAGCGAAAAATTACATACACTAAATAATTTGATCTTAGTTACTTGATTTTATCTTCATCTTTATCAGTTAAGTCCTTTTTTTATTTCAATAGAATAACCAATCAAGCAGCACAACTCATTGTACTTAAAATATCACATGATTTAAAGCTGACATCTCCAATTTCATTTTTTTTGTAAGTTTCAAAACTTTTTTTCTTAGTTATTTAATGAAGAGATGATGAGTATCCATTTTATTTTATTGTCATTTTATTATATCAGTAGTTCATGATTAATTATTATCATCATTGTTAAATATGATTTACATTATGTTACTTGAAAGTTAAAACAGTGAATAATTTTCAAAGTTTACAATTCCTTGATTGCATTATTTGATTCTAAGTTTAATGAAGAAATGAATATTGAATGAAAAGTACGACCAAACATTATTTAATTGGTTAATTCATATTAATTTTCTATTTTATTAAAAGATAGTTTTCATCATGAACTAATGTTATCTGTAAAATTTATAATTCAAATAATCTTAGAGATTGAAATTCAAATACTTTTAAAGTTTCATCCGGCAAACTGTCCTGAGCTTCTTTAAGGGAATAATTAATTTTCATGTTGATTATTTCCCTGAAACATTTGATCGGGTGGAGATTTAAAATTAAATAAATTTTATTTACTGAGAATTTTTCAAATATAATTTTTACACATCACTCCTTTCAATTACTTGATTCCTAATTTCTGTTAAACTGTTTGTTCAAATTCTGACAAATTTTCATATAAAATAGACTTATTTAGAGTATAAACTTGTTCTATACAACCTTAGTTTTGTTTAGCACAAAACGGTTTATTTCCGAAGTTAATGGTCTCTGGTTATATAGGAACCAGAATGAGATTAAGACTTATATTTCTTGTTCATGATAAACTTTTGAATACCTATTAATTGAAACATAAAATTAGTCTCTGCTATCTATTGCTACATTGTTTCTCTCTCTACGATTTTCTTTAACCTTTAGCCTTGATAAATCGAGACGTGTATTATACTTTCATGTTCCATCTAGTGCTGGAGTGTCCGCTGATACTATTGTTGATGCTCTTAGTAAGCAAAATCAATATTTTTAATGATTATTATTTCAATCTGTTCATCATGATAATATAAAATTAATTAACATAGGATATTTTGTAAAACAATATTGATATAACTAAATCAGTATAAAGAACATTATCTTTTGAAAAGAAAATGTAAACGAGTAGAGAATAAACAGTACAATGAATGATAATTATTCCAGAGTATATGCTAAATTGCTAATCAGCATCTCTAAACGTCAGAAAATCTAACAGTATTTTTGAATTAAGACAAACATGAAAAATATAAACTGGCTGATTAATGCATTATAAAGATGATACTTCGCTAACCTATTTAGATTATTTGCATTTTTCTTCAACGTTTTGTTTCATTTACTTGTAAAAATTTGATTTCTACAAATAGATGTAGAACATTTAGAAATTTTTATTAATAAAACTACAAAAAATTGGTGGTACTGAAGATTCTGATGATCCGTAGCTGATAAGATTACATATCTGACTAGTTAACGAGCTAACTTCGTATGATATTTTGTACGTCACAAATATAAATTTACTGATTTCGTGAAGAAATGTCTATTGGCGACTTAGTGTATTTAATTTTACTTAATTTTAAAGTAGACATCTATTAGACTGGTTCCTTTCGTGGAATCAGCAAAATATTACATCATCTATTAAACTTAATTTGCAATTTACTAACTCACTGAAATCAAAGTTTCACCCAGTGGAGCTTGCAAAAGAAAGTGAATATCTTCACACAATAACATTTGGATTGATACTAAAAAGTTAATACATAGAGTCGAATGTATAATATGACGTTTGCGCTGTAACTGGAGATTTTAGATCAAATAGAAGAGATTTAGCCACAGTGAGATGATAATTGAATGCAAATCATTATTGACATGTTACAGTTAATCTAGTTTATTAAAAAAAATAATACATGTCATTCAAGTGTGCAGAAAAACAAAATCTAAGTAAGTCCTGGCTATTATCTCAAAAGATGATCTAATTTCTATAGAACCTAGTGAATATAAGTTTGATTGTGACTATAGTATTGGAAACAAGTAATTGTCCGGTCTTAATCTTCGTCTTATCTATATAGACTTGTAACTTCAAATGTATTTATTAGTTAAAACTATTTTATTAATGAGAAACGATGTATTGATTCAATATCATCTGGTTGATTATCACTAAATCAGAGATTTTTAATTGAAATTTCAATTTATTTAAATAAGCCTAAATATCTGTTATTGACCAAATCAAGTAGTTAGAAATAATTTATATTTTGCAGAATACTCTTGTATGGCTGTCGATCCTTATTAAACTAATATGAATGGTCTCCAAACAGTGATGCGCTCTAATAACATATGAAATAAGTATTTGGTTCACTTCACTACCAATATGAAAGTGTTTAATTTTTGTGATATGAGCTATTGGATTTTACAAAACTAATAACAGAGAAACTTCATAAACAGAATTCACATGGTTTCGTCCATTTTATCTAATAATAAGGATGATTCTAAGCGAAACTGCACGTTGTTCTACCAAGACACAAAGATGGATGAACCTATTAGTAGAATAATTAGGGTCTGATAAAAAACCCCAACCACTTATTTGAGATAACAACTGTCTGGAAAGTTATTTATCATCTCAATATGACAGCTGTCCCCAAAACAGTTATCAACAATGAAACCACCAATGGTTATTATCAGCGGGTTTATAGCTTAAGCAATAATTTTAAAAATATGCACATAATTAAGAAAATGTAATTTGTAAAGGTGCAAATGGGTTCCTTAAAAACGGTGGTACCCATCTTGATGTTATTGATATTAGTAAAGTATGAGAAGAATGAAGTGAAAATTTTAAACTAAAACCTTCAGGATCTCGTACTCTTTCGAAGAGAAAGCAAATAAACAAAAGTATAATATAAAAAACAGCGAAGTTAAGCGTATTTCTACAGGTTATTTAAAACTCAAGGTTAAAATTGACATTTCAAGATAATGTAAAGAAGAAATAATTGGAAAGCATACAAAAATTAATTAGCTTATTTAGTGAGGATTTTTTTATTTCAAGTTGTGCGTGAAAATAGGGAAATAAACTCCTAAGTCTGGAATGCACTAGATATTTATTTGCAGTCAGTAAATTAATCTCTTTTTCCATTTTAGCCAAATTTGGATTTTAAAGATATTTTTTAAATTTTACATATTTCTCTTCTTCTCAGATACAAATATGAATTTAATAGATGGTTATCCAATTGAAGATGTTGGGTTTGGCCGTGGAGTAAGTTCGAACTTATTATTATTATTATTATTATTATTATTATTATTATCTGCTTTATTCAATATTATATTTTTGGTACAATATAGAATTCTTAGCGCAAAGTATTTCAACAAGTTTCCGTTTCTTTCTTCTTGGTCGGTCCCGGTAATAAATATTGAGTGATCGCCAGTTAGATGTTAGCACTTCAGTATATTGCCAGTAACCACATTGTCTCTTATTGAGTTTTTTGTAACTTTGACAACGAAAGGTTGTACACTTTTCCGAAACGCAGCAGGATAGGTTATGGGATTAATAAACATAATGATATAATAAAACAAACAAAAATAGATAACTTGTTGAAATATCTAGATGGCAGGAAAAGGTAGCCCAGATGCTCAATAAAAATTGATTTTATACTCTATGAATTACCACTGAATAAGAATTAAGTATAACACTATTCAAACATAAGTCATACTGTTTGGTGTTAACTGAGTACTTGCTGTTTACATATTACGCTAAAACAAGTTTTGTTAAATTGACGAACTGATCCAAGCTAAGCACTTATTTTAATTAGAGAAACAATGTTGAACTTAAAACTTGAAATGGTTAATCAGAGTCAATGAGGAATGTGAAACCAAGTCAACTAATTCTGTAAGCTGTAAATTCACAAATGTATGTACACACTATTTTAAAAGTGGTAACATAATTTGTCTGTCATCAATAATAGTTTGTCGAGAATAGTAATAAAGATTTTAAAACTCTAAGAGTGCTATTATAATCTAATATAGGTATCAGTCAGTCAGTCAGTCAGTCAGCTACAACGTAGAACCAGGCACATATGTGCATCGGTCCAGGTTGCCATACCTCATTAGCACAACAAGATGAACACCGGATTCATAGGAGTGGTTAGGTCAAAGGTTGCAATAAGGATATAGTATAGGAAGGAAGAATTAGTTAGTAGAAAGAAAGATATAAAGTCATTTTAATCTCTTAGTTTAAGAGAAGACAGGGAGTGTATACACCGACGCCATTGTGATCGATTCTGAGCCATGTCACCAAGAGTCTCCAACCATTGGTTACGAAAGTCACGCGGACCCCAACCAAGTAGTCTGCATCTACCAACATGTCACAGACTAGAAGTTAGTGACTTCAAGCACTGATGCCACGTTTTGGTTTGGCCGCCCTTAACTTTCTTCCAACCATCCCGAACACCGGTTAGCATTGCACGTCGTGGTGATCGGTGTTCAGGCATACGTAATACGTGGCCCAACCATCTCAGTCGATGAAGATTAACAACCTCATCAACTGATTTACCATCATTCCCTAATACCCTGCGTCTAACCTCACTATTACTTACCCGGTGATCCCAGCAGATGCCAGCAATATTTCTAAGGCATCTGTGGTCAAATACTTGTAGCTTACGGGTGTCTTCTACTCTTAAAGGCCATGTTTCGCTGCCGTAAAGTAAGACAGAACGGACTGCCGCGCAGTATACTCGTCCTTTTATTGATAGACGGATATCTCGCCTCCGCCAAAGGTGACGTAAGTTGGCAAAAGCCAAACGAGCTTTTCGAATCCGTGCTGAGATTTCGTCAGACACCAACCCATTAGGGCTGATCAGACTTCCAAGACAAGTGAAGTTGTCGACGCGTTCGACTACTTCACTCCCTATCCTTAGTTCAGGTGTTGACGCAGACCAGTCCTGAAGCAACAACTTGCATTTAGATGGAGAGAAGCGCATCCCAAACATTCTGGCATTGTTGCTTAGTGCTACCAGAAGACTCTGCATTTTGTCAGCGTCTTCACCAAACAGGACTATATCATCTGCGTATTCTAAGTCGATAAGTGGACCTCCTGGAAGGAGATCAATACCCGAGAATTCAGTCGACGAGAGTGTTATTTCCATCAATAGGTCTATGATGAAGTTAAACAAAAATGGAGAAAGTGGACAGCCTTGACGGACACCACTTGAAGTTGCAAAAGTAGATGACAGTTCGCCATAAGCCCTGACTCGACTAGTAGTGTTCGAGTAAAGAGCCTTCACAAGGTTTATGTACTTCTGAGGTACGCCTTTCAATGACAGACACTGCCACAGAGTCTCGCGGTCTACAGAGTCAAACGCTGCTTTTAAGTCAAGAAAGACCACCATCGTCGGACGCCGATAGGTATGCCTGTGTTCCTAGATCTGAAGGACTAATTTGAGAATACCAAAAATGTATAGCTACGAAACAACATACTATAAATTAAGTGGTGTAATGTAATCATAACTTAGTTCAGAATCGTAAAAAAATCTACTTGATATAAATTGTTACCGGCGTAAGAGAGGGAGTTGTTTATAAGTATGATTATCAGTAGCCTTGTTTTAGAGGGGTTTGAATCAGTCCGATGGGTCTATTTGTAGAAATTATGGAAGTAAAATCCTGCGCACTATGGATGCATTAAATTTATCAGTACCGTACGAAACAACAACAAAATTATTTTAATGAATGACGGTTCTAGCTAATTCTTATTAACTGGATATGATATTGTTTTGTCAGTTAATTGTAATTTTAATGACCTTGGGCAAGTTGTTGAATTAATACAGAGATATAAGATATAAAAAGGAATATACATGCAAGATATATACATGTCATTTGCACTTTTTGTCTTAATCCGTCTCGAGGTGTGTTAGATAGATCTAAATCACTTACATACGATAGTTTTTATTATAGTTCATTTCATCAAGGTTTGTTTCTTCAATACATTTTGGCAAGTCACAATGTCTTTGAAAATACTGAGTAGGAAACAATGTCATGCTTGTCTGATCCTTTATTACTTCCCGAATTCCACAAATTAAGTAGTACTGTGGCTACCAGTCTAACTGACTTGACATCGTGTGCACTATGTTGAGGTAATGGATGGTTGAAGATAACTGACTGGAAACTCCAGACCTAGATTTAGTGCTAGTTGGCACTCGTTAACAAAGTGTACCAGAAATCTTAAGGGATCTCGTGCTCCATGCACGGTTCGAATCCTCCAAAATCTGAGAAGTTACCACTGAGCCAAATAATGTTCGCAGTTTCTTACCGATTATCTCTAACAACAAAAAAGAAGTAATTGAATATTCAATAGTTACTTTAGTAAATTTCTGAATTGTCATATTTCTCTTTGAAACGAAAAACATGATTATTAACACATTATTTGTTCCCTGTCCTTTCAATTATCTTTTACCCGATTATTTTTGGCTGAAAGGCTGTGAATACAGTAAATACATATTCCAGTAAAAATGCTCCCACTGAATCCCCCCAACCATCGCCTCTGCAGCGTTCTGTCGACGATGAAAGTTTGAAAAATTTTGGTCATGTAAAATGGGAAAAATATACAATGACAATAATTCTATGTTCCAGCATACTTACTGCAGTTGTTATACTCACAGCAATTTATATAGTTCAAATATGTCGAAAAAAGGTAATCAGTTTAAAACAAGACAATTTAATGTAAAGTTGTTCATTTTCCTGTATTTCATGAGAAATATTTCGAATGAAGAGTTGAAATTTTTGCAACTACCATGAAGAATTTAATGAAAAGTCAAGTTAAATAAACTCGTATAATAGTTAGAATGCATGTTATGCTTCAAAATACACTTCAATTGTAAACACCAGTGAAAGCTATGTTGGAGACATTCTATTGAATGAGTAAAGAAAGTTCAAAATGATATCAGCATTTAGTCATAGATTTGTTGGATAGTTATTATTGCAGCTCATCTATCTAAGTAACACTATTTAGTGAAAGCTTACATTTTGAAGTATTATTGTTGTGAAGAAAAAGTTCACAGTATCAGTTCTAATCAAATAATTTGCTTATAAGAATGATCCTATCACAATTCAATGTCATCAAAAAATAGTGAAGAGCGAATAATTAACTTATATCGTTTTTGAACCAATTACCAGCCTATATTCCTCACTGTTTCTAGATGTCAGAACATTTCACTTAGACAATATCTTGATCTTATACGATGGAGTGATATTTTGAATGTAAAAATAAACATATCGCCTGAAGACTTACCGAACCATCTAGCTACCCAAGTGAGAAATGATTAACACGAAACCTCTACCATAATAGTTAGGAATTACATTCGTGATGGATTTCTGAAATAATCAAAAGCTATCACCCATTGAATTTTAAACCATCTTAAAGTTGAGAAGGATAAAATTAACACGACTGGATAATTTCTTGGCTATACTGAAAGTGCCCGTGGATATATTGGTCACTTAGTTTTCGCCTAATAGTCTAAAAATACCATGTTTTACTTAGGATTTAAAATCCTAAGGCTGAATTCTGTGTAGCGTTGATGAATTCTAACTATAAAATAGACTATTAAACAAGGAAATAGACAGTTTTCCAGCGATATTTTTTTACGGGGTAGTTTAAGTGGTAAAAACTCGTGAGTGTACATTGAAACTCCTATGATAGAGCGGTGATTTGAGTAGAGCAGTTGTATGATCTCACTTTCTTTCGCTTTAGATTGATTATTGATCAATTACATTTGTCAAACCATCTTATTTATTTATACATATCAGTGGTATTTGGAAGAAGTAATGCACACGGAATGAAATTAATCCACTTCACCCAATGATGTATGTTGTTTTTACTTAAAATGTTTATCAAAGGGACTAACTTGATGAAACTGTAGATTACAAGCCATTGTATTTTCTACAAAGCTAATGATTAATAAATCATGTAAATGTTGTCTACTTTTAATTGTTAAACTAGTTTTTCATTTAAGGAGGTTAATTATGTATATTAAAACTTTAGGATATTGTTTCTTAAATTGTGTAGAAATACTCTTGGTAGTAATTGAAATAATGGAAATTCCTTAAAAAAAAGATACAATAGACATGTGTTTTTTTATAATGATAAAAATATTGACCAGTTAATTCATACAATTTTATGATCATTCAACATTTAACTTTATGATTCTAGCGTAAATCTAAAAGTGAATCAAATGAAAAATTATCATGTCAATTAGATGATTCACCTCATTTAGAATGTAAAAAGCTTGCACACAATAATAATCTTTATGGATCTCAACAAAGTAGTGTTTCATCATGGTAAATAATTTTATGTTTTTAAAAAATTCATTTTATAGTTCATAATTATTTTTAATGTTCTCGTGATTTTACAAAATCTCATCTATCTAGTTTTGTGACAAGCATAAACGTATAAAATAACATCTAATCACCAGTATTTGAAAAAAGGCATCATGTAGCTACATGTTTTTACTCTTTTTCTTAAATCTTCACTAATTCAACTAGTCAGGAAATGTCTAGACAAATTACCAAATCTCATCATAGTTTTTTCATGATATCCATTTACTAATTGTTCATACAAAAACCATTTTAATAAATGTACTTATGGAAAATTATCATAAATACATATGACATGCTTCCGTTTAATAATAATACAGTTAGTAATTAAAATATACACTGAATAAATTGACTATGATAATGATATTTAGTACATTCAATAATAATTTACTATCACATGAATCGACCAATCTGTTCAAAGACAACAACAATATTTTAAATTTACGCATGTGCTCAATGCACATAAACAATCGTAAAATAGAAAAATAACCTATGAAATTTAAGATATATGGCTAAATATTGACTAATTTTATTGATTTATAAATTATAATTAAATAATTGGTCACTTTATTTGGACTAAGCTTATACATACGTATATAATATTTCCAAAAATAGTTAACTGTTATAATGAGTAATGAAACAAAATGAAACACATGAAATACAGAGTGATGAATCAGCAAAAAATTTCGAGTCTAAGAATAGTCAAACTTCACGTATACCGGTTGAAACTGAATTGTTACTGTCTACAGATACAATGTGGGTTGTAAGACGTATGATCACTAATAATGAATCTAATACTCATGCATTACTACAAACATCAACTAATGAAAACTCATTGGAATCATTTCAAAGCTCTGGGAAAGATGCATCATTTTTATACACAGATGTTTTCATGTTAAATAAGTAAGTTAGCACTTATGTGTAAACAGTAAACAAATCAAAAATGTATAAATGTTCATTATATACATATAAATCGCAAAATTCGATAATCTCATAGTCTATATTATCTAAATACTCTTATACGAAACTAAGGTGGTTGGATTAACAAAAAATCAGAAACTGAATCAAGTCAATTTTGATTTATTTTTTTATCTATATTGAATTCATAAAACAATTTTCATCAGTATTCAGTATACTACTTCATACAATAGTTTCTTGGAAAAATATAAAAATATTGTACTGTTATATGATTAAAGTATCAATAAATGGAGGCTCAAATGGTCGTGCGGGAAAATAAACAGAAAGAAGTACTTCCTGCTAGAATAATCTAAATTCAAAATGAAACAGATTTCCTTTATTCCCAGAACGGTGGTAGTTGTTGGAATAATTTGTAAAAGAAATTGAAGAATGACTAATGAAATTATCCGCTTTCATGGAATCGTTTATAATCTCAATGCTATGTAATGTAACTTTAATTACTTATGATTTCGCTAAGTTAAAATGTAAAGCTTTCAAATTTACTGTAGTAATGCTAACTCGGAATTCATTGACTGTTCTTTTTCAATCGCTTGTACTTCATATAGCAATCTTATCAGAAAATCTTTTCTGCATCTATACTACTATAAATCACATCTATGAAACCATAAATTCACTTTATAAAATCCATTAATCAACTGATGTAAATAAGTGATCTAGGTATGGTTTGAAATTTGAAAACTGGACAACTGTTTTACTCTAGTTTAAGAAAATTCTGATTCATATCTTAGGCTTAAATCAATTATTGACGAACGGGAATTTTCTGTCAATATTACCATTTCGACTGAGTTCATGTTCACTGATGTTTGCGTCGATTGAAATGAGGTGATGTATGACAACCTTGTGGTATACAGTGATTATAGATGTCAAAGAATTAAACTTGATTGTGGCACAGTTGCCATGCCCTCAGACATTGAATTCATTGCAAAAATCGTACGAACCGGTTTTGTTGTATTTGTTGAATCGAGTGATTTTCAATTTAAACATACACAAATCTGTAAACAGTGACCTATACGATTTCGAAACGTTAAGTATTAAGTATATGAAGTTCCTTACTGCCTTAAGAATATGAAACTACTACAGCTTTCTTAATCAGCTTCTTATAGAATGTCATATATATATGTATATCCGTTGTTGACTACATATTTGACTTCAGTATTTCAGTTGATAAGGTGACTAGTTATTCAAATGTGATATTTTTAACTTATCTGATGGCCGTGTTAATTTTTATTGTCAGCGGGATCATAACCATAGGGAGGCCTGTGCGTGTTGTTCTATTGTGTGCTTGGTTCAATGGGGCTGGTCTAGTCAAGAGCTCTACCCAGCTGTTCTTCACATCTTGAATTTCAGTGAAGGATTAGCTTTCGTTGTTCCAGAGTGGTCGCTCTTGTTTATTATATTTCCTTGCTTGTTGTGTGGTTGGTTGTATTATATAGTTGTCTCATATTACCTTCTCTTACAGCTTTCCCGTTGTCAGTGTTAGGTCTTCCGTATATCTTTGCTTATCAGTCTTAATGCGCCTCTTCACTTGCTTGTTAACTTCGGTGTATTTGGCTTGTGCCTTTGTTCGGCTGCTGGTGATTTGTGTCTTCCTGTGCTTTCTTCTCCGAATTCTGTTCAGGCTATTAACAGACATCCATTCTTTATGGTGATGTTTCCTGAGGCACATCACCTCATGGCACATTGAAGGTGAGGCTTCTTTGATCCCTTTCCAGTTGTTCTCCATAGTGCTTTCCTCATCTAATGAGTCCTATAAGACTTGTAACTTATTACTTTGAGCTATCATGAATTTGCTGAGTTTGTTAGTATTTCGAAGGAATGCTGTATTGGACTTTTGTAGTGCTGTCTGTTCCTTTGTACAGTGTTTCTTCAGCTTTAGTTTCAACTTGGCCACTACCACTGATGTGAAGTGATATATATATATATATATATATATATATATATATATATATATATATATATATATATACTGGCTTTTGTAACAAATTTTGATGGAGTTTTAAGTCAGTAGAAACACAAGTATTCACTCAATTATTTACTACTTTTGAATGTTCGGTGGGTATCTTTCAGATTAAAAAATTTCTACGAACAAAGATTCTTTCTTAAGGTTTGATGTGTTTTACTTCAACTTACCTATTATTATCATCAGCTTACAATAAATGTTACACTTCACTTCTGTTAAAATATTACACTTAATAAATATAAGATAAATCAGATGAATTCTTATCTTCGATTGAAATTAACAGATAATCTTACACAGTGAGTACACATCAATTTCACTATTTAAAAGATAAATATAATTTATTTACTACTTATTTTTATTTAAATTAGTACATGAAATTAAAAGTAGTATATTCATTCTTTGTAGAATCTAAATTAATCAGATAAATGATTCGATTGAAATTTTAGGTCAAGTGAACCAATCCCATGTAGTATTGATGTTCCAACTGGACATATAATTTTAGTAAGTACATTATATTACTTTGCTGTTTTTTTAATTCTTTTCATATTTGCTAAATGTTTTAAAACAAATAAAAGGTATCACAAATTTATTGTTTAATTAAAACTTTTGGTTTCTTTTTTTAATCTTGTTTTAGTATTGTTGGTTATTTAGTTTTGTATGTATGATTACATTTTTAAAAAAGCTAATAGAATCACCATTATATTGATTTGATGTGGTAAAGTAAGATTCGAAATACTTTATATGTACGCTATGATGTTTCGTTTTGCGTAAATCACAGTAAATCTGTTGAAGAAGTTACCACCATATCCAGTCAAGAAAAACTGTCGAAAGCAGATATTGTTTAAGTATATATGATAGGGTGAGCCAATGAGCAGTAGCCAAGTGACAAGGTCAAGTGCTCACCTTGGCTAGGAAATGGATTGATTTTTCAAAGGGGTATATATATATAATGATTTCTGAAGTAGTTGCTACTGTAATGAGGGAGAATTTTTCATTATGATGAGCAGTAGACTTAGTTTGATTGCTGAATTCAGTGATCGTGAGACAACATCAATCCATTTTTTCGACCGAGAAATATATTTACTGGTCGTAATGCTTATATTATAAAGAAAAACATAAAAACTTTGTTTTAATAAGTGTAAACATCGTACGTAGTTCAGATGATTTAACTACTTGGCATTTCCTGGTCTTCATGCATCATATTATCTTGGGTTTTTTTTTGTTTATTTACTTTGTTGTCATTCCATGTTCTGGAATCCAGGAGCTTAAACAGAATGCCTTACTGCATATCCATTTGCATTATTCCTGTTTTTTATGCATGGTAGGCATTTTCTAAAGATATATTATGGACTCAGGAGTAAAATAAAGACAAAGTATGGATGAAATGTCCCATCACTGGAGACAATTATGCATAAACATACAACCAAATCTTTCAAGGTCTTATGATTTGAAACCCTTCATTATTTATTGGTAATGTCCGTAGACCTAAGTCTGACTTGGTGAGAAACGTTAATTTAAAATTTGCATTATCAAACAGCTTTTTTTACTTTTATTTAGTCATATATGGAAAAACATTTACAAGATAGAAATCAACTAACAGATGATTGGAATTCAATCGATAAGTATGTGTCTGAAGAAAATATTTTGTATGAAGAAGGTAAAAATCCTAAGAATCAGTTTAGGAATCGAGAATGTGCACCAATTCCATGTACGTTTCTCACTTAACTGTACTGTAAGTTCTAAAAATATATATTTACCAGGTATTTAATGATTGTTAATTTCTGGGCATTTCTCTTCCACAAAGATAAGTTTATTTAACTGATCGAAATTGCTAGTTAGTCATCTCTCGTACCATTAAGCGATTTTCGGGACTATAGAAACAGTTTAAGGCTTTACAGTTTCCTCGTGAGCATAGCGAAACTGAATCTCTGGTGTTAAGTCAAAGATATAGGCATTTTGAATTTAAGTTATTTTGGGTTACATTAGATGACATTCATTATTTTTAACACTTGTGTAGTCATATTACCTGGATTATAGTAGTGTTAAGTGGTATCAATATAAAACTTTCGGGATTTTTAAATGATAATTTTGGACAACGAAACTTTTGATCACGCATACTTTTAATGTGTTTTTAGATGAACAATCTCGAGTCAAACTTCGATCTGGTGATAACGATTACATTAATGGAAGTTTAATGGTAAGTATTCATATTATTACTGCAATTTTCATGTTTCTGATTATTCAAATGACGATGATTGATAATGAGATTCACTGGGAAAATATACAATAGACAAATTGTAGAAGGGTAATATAAGCTAGAAATAGAAGAGAAAACTAAAAAGTGCATTATTTTTATTCTGCAAATCGTACTGTTATTTCTTTTTAAAATCAATATTTAAACTCACCCATTATTTTCGCATACAATAAAATCTGTAAATCAAGTGTATCAATATATGGACATATTATTATATACGAAAACTCCGCCTGTAGCTCTTCTAGAGTTACTGCCGGTCCCAAGCCCGGGTAAAGGAGGAAGGTTGAGCATGGGGTTAGCGTCCCCATTCCGTAGAAAACTAACTCGCTAAAAAAACGCTTACCAGAAAAAATAATTCAAACCATTTTAACTCTGCCCTGGGAGTTAGAAGGTCTTCATTTAGAAGAATTATGACGCTTCATGGTGAAAGCCGAGTTCCTTCGAAAGCCACGAGGCCGATGCCTCTTCTAACAGCCAGAGCAAAAATTTTTGTAAGTACATGGAACGTGCGAACAATGTGGGAGACCGAGAAGGCCAGTCAAATACAACGGAAATGAGGAGATACAAGTTGGCAGTACTGGGGAAACGAAACCCACTGGACCCAAGCTGGACGGAAAAGGCTAGCTACGGGAGAGATGTTGCTATACTCCGGTCACGAAGAGGACAATGCTCCACACACTCAGGGAGTCGCCCTGATGCTGTCCAAAGGGATGGGAATCTCACGGATGCAGAATCATCAAAGCATCATTCAAAACAAAGAAGGAGGGGATCACAATGAATATTATCCAATGTTATGCACCCACCAATACCAGGGAAGGTCTTCAACAGAGTGTTGCTGAACCGGATGAAAGATGCAGTAGACGCCCAATTTCGAGATCAACAAGCTGGATTCCGTAAGGATCGATCGTGCACAGACCAAATTGCGACACTACGGATCATCGTGGGACTCGTCACTAGACATCAACTTCATTGATTATGAAAAGGCATTTGACTGTGGATAGGAAAACGTTATGGAAACTTCTTCGACACTACGGAGTTCCCGAGAAGATTGTCAACATCATCCGGAATTGATAGGATGGGTTACAGTGCAAAGTGGTGAATGCAGGACAACTGACAGACTGATTCCAAGTGAGAACCGGAGTCAGAAAAGGGCTGCTTACTCTCCACCTCCATCTTTCTTCTGGTGGTCGACTGGATTATGAGGACCTCGACATCTGAAGGAAAACACGGAATACAATGGACAGCTCAGAATCAGTTAGACGATTCGAACTTCGCATGTGACCTAGTCCTCCTATTGCATACACACGAACAGATGCAGACAAAGACAGCCAGTGTGGCAGCAGTCTCTGCATTAGTAGGCCTCAACATACACAAAGGGAAAACCAAGATCCTCAAATTCAAGGCGGAGAACAGCAATCCAATCACTCTTGATGGCGAAACTCTGTGAGGTGTAGAATCCTTCACATACCTGGGAAGCATCATCGATAAACAGGGAGGCTCAGATGCAGACGTAAAGGCAAGGATTGGCAAAGCAAGGGTCGCATTCCTACAATTTAAAAACATATGGAACTCAAAACAACTTTCAACCAATATCAAAGTGAGAATCTTCAATACGAATGTCAAGGCAGTTCTACTGTACGGAGCTGAAACTTGGAGAACTGCAACAACCACCATCAAGAAGGTACAAGTATTTATAAATAGCTGTCTACGCAAGATACTCAACATCCATTGGCCAGATACCATCAGTAGCAGCCTTTTGTGGGGGAACAAATCAGCTTCCAGCTGAAGAAGAAATTAGGAAAAGACGATGGAAATGGATAGGACATACATTACGCAAATCGTCAAACTGCATCACAAGATAAGCCCTAACTTGGAATCCTGAAGGGAAGCGGAAAAGAGGGAGGCCTAAGAACACATTACGTCGGATAATAGAAGTAGATATGAAAAGGATGAATAACAACTGGAAGAAGCTGGAAAGGATTGCCCAGGACAGGGTTGGATGGAGAATGCTGGTGAGCGGCCTATGCTCCTTCACGAGGAGTAACAGGCGTAAGTAAGTAAGTAATTAAGTAATTATATACGAAGTGTGTTTGCTGCAGAATATTATTTTAACAAAATTATTAGTTGGGTTAATTGTTACCGTACGATATTAATATATAAATATGAACTGGAATTTCTACACTTGGACAGACAAATCTTGTGAAGACTGAAAAAAATCTAACAGTTTGAATTTTTATTTATAACTATACTGTCAATACCTCATTGAACAAACGTTACATGTTAAGAAACGTTACGGCTACTATAATTCATTAATTAAGTAAACAGTTCCTCATTAAGATATTTTTCGCAGTCGAATGTCAATATTATAAAATAACAAAATCGTATCAATTGTGCAGCAGTAAACAATGATACTATAAGCGAATTCATTCAAATATACCGTATTTTGATTGAGGAATTTTTTTATTTCGAATCTATGCTGATTGTAGAGAATAGCCTAAATTCTTTAAACCACTTTAGATATTTATTAAATAGAATGTTTAAGTTTAAGGTGAGATTTATAAATTAGCTGCATCTCGTTACAATGACTTGGGGCTTGTGAAATTGAACACTAAAATACCCTATAGTACCACTAGAAACTTTTAATTACCATGTTTTTGGTGATGTTTCATGTAAACCTCCATGAATTAGTCATCTAAAATTATATTTATTATTTTATAAAAGCATAAATCTAGAAAAATTTTAAATGAACCACACACTAACATATTGTCTGATTTATATTTAAACTCATATAAAATTAGGAACAAGGTTCACCAAATCTTTTGAACTAACACAGCAGTTATCATTATTAAGTTCACTCGATGATTCAAATCGAATAAATGAATGAACCGTTAAACCCTAAAATCGAAGCACGGTACCGTTATTAACGGTGACATAAGTAATATATTTTAAGAGCCTCAATTATTGAGCTATTTCAGGTTTTTACTGAATCAACGGTCAGTCAAGGGAGATGTGCTTCCTGAATTATTGACAGGAAATACAGTGATGAAAACCAACAAACGTAATGAGAAATACGTACATAAAATATGGAAACTGTCATTAATAAGTAGGTTTTCAACGAACAAACAACAAATTAAGAAAATACGTTTTTTAATTAATATTATGGGTCAGAATTAGGATTAAAGGTCAGGACTTAATTCATCGGGGAGTGAGTGTCTTACAAAAATGATTTCTTCAACCAACTATGATATTTGATCATGTTCATCTTCTTATTAATAACTTGTACATGCTAATTCATCGTTTAAAAACATATTCTAACTAGTGATCTTATAATTTGACCTCACGTCATCCCGGGGTAGAGTAAGCTTATATCAATAACTTAATATCATGAGGACTCATCGTACGGCAGCTTATCGTTTGTTGATCAACATTATTTTTGCTTATCTTTACTATCAAAAGTCATTTTTATACAAGTATCAAAGGGACTATTAATAGAGGAATTATAAATGGATTAAATACCGTGAACAAACGCACAACAATCGACGTTTTTGAAGGTATGCTAAAAAATGACTGACCATAATATTTGTTACTGAAAATTATTCAGTATTATAGTATGATACACAAAAGGCAACAGAGAGTGAAGTATGTTACGGTGAAAGGAACACATAGAATTAACATTTATTGCACTGAATTACAATATTTACGACAATTGGACTCAGTTTCAATACAGTTTAGTAAAAATTTTAAATGACAATTATTTTTAGACAAGTTGGGGGCATGATGCTCAAAGAATAATTTGACAGATATTACCACAGAAACTTCAAGCATCACGTCGTTATTAACTCAATATAAGATTAAGTTAGTTAAATAACACTAACTTAACGACGAACTGAGACAATCAGTTAACTAAAGCGTTTTTCCCCATATATTTATAAAACAGTATTACTTAGAATTCATTGAATTGTACTCAAATTATCTCAAAATATTTCACTTTATTTCCAATTAGTATGATACTAATCCAAGAAATCCTGTTTACATTGCTACAATTACGCCAACAGTTAAGTCAGTTCCAGAATTTTGGTTAATGGTTTGGGAACAAGGATGTGTTGTAATCGTTTGCTTGGAACGTATTGATGAATTAAAAAAAATGGATGAAATTGACCAGTTTGAATTGAACGATGCTTCAGTGAAATATTGGCCTAATGAAGGTAGTCAAGTTTATGGTTCTTTTGAAGTAAGTCTCACAAAAAGCAGTACCCATCTTATCCATTATATTAAGACAGTAGGATTGAGTCTCATATAGGATATACTGTATTAGTTGAGTGTTTTAACTTGTTACAGATTAAAGCTCTTTGGTAAATTTTAAAATCTTTTTGTTTGCTTGATAAATCCTGTGTTCAAACTGATTCATGAACGGCATGTTGACCTGATGAGTCAATTTTGTCCTTAACGATAAATCACTGATCAAATCATTTTGGAAAGGAAATACAGAAAAGCACTTTGAATATGGATTTTTAATCCACTTAATAAAGTAAAACTCCGCATGTAGCTCTTCTAGAGATACTGCCGGTCCCAAGACTGAGTAAATGAGGATTGGGCATTGGGTCGGCAACCTCATCCTGTGGAAAAAAATCTTAGCAAAAAAACGCCAACCAGATTAAACAAATTAAACCATTTAAACTCTTGCCCGGGAATTGAACGAACAAAAATTGGTTATATGTGGCACAATTTTCCTACACAATCGCATACAGAAAGCTACATGGGTCTTACCGGATCACACCACGGAGAATCAGATAGATCATATTTGTATGAACAAAAAATTCAGAAAGACAATGTAATACATGAGAACCAGGAGAAGAGATAACATAGCCTCAGGTCACCACCTGGTTGTGGACAAAATGAAAGTGAAGCTAAAGAAACATTGGACAACTGGACGAACAGCATTACAATGGTTAAATACAGTCTTCCTTCGAGCTACTAACAAACTCAAGGAATTCAAGATCACTCTCGAAAACAGGTTCCAAGCTTAACAAGATCTACTGAAAGAAAAAATTACGATAGAAAACAACTGGAAAGCGGTCAAAGAAGCATTATCTTCAACGTGTCAGTAGGTGCTGGGCCGCAAGAAGCATCATTATAAGGAATGGATCTCCATCTAAACCCTGGACAAGATTCAGGTAAGAAAAAACACGAAGACGGAATAAAACAATATTCAAACAAGAACAGAGAAAGTCAAGTCACAGGCTAAATGCACAGAAGCAAACAAACAAGTGAAGAGAAGCATTAGGGCGGACAATCAGAAATAGGTGGAAGAGCTAGCAACGACAGCGGAAAAAGTATCAAGAGAAGGAAATGAGACAGCTATTTGACACTGACAGGGAAATATGGTAAACCAGATTGACTGGTCAAGTACAAGAAGGAAAGCCAATCACTGAGATTCAAGGACAGAGGAACAGATGGGTAGAATACTTAAAGGAACTGTTGAATAGACCAGCTTCATTGAATCCGCCGGAAATCGAAACAGCACTTACAAACCTTCCTATAGATGTCACTCCACAAACAATCGAAGAAGTCAGGATAGGCATCAGACAAACCAAGAGTGGGAAGCGACAGAACCTGACAATATACCAGATGAAGCTAGCGGTGAAGTCAGATATAGAAGTAACTGCAAGTATGCTTCACGTTCTATTCAGGAAGATTTGGGAAGAAGAACAAGTGCCGAAGAACTAGAAAGAAGGATACTTCATCAAGATAACAAAGAAAGGAGATCTGAGCAAATGTGAGAACTACGGAGGCATCACACTACTGTCAGTATCAGGAAAAGTTATCAACATTGTGGCTGAACCGGATTAAAGATTTAGTAGATGCCCGAATTCGAGGTCAACGGGCTGGATTCCGTAAGAATCGTTCATGCATTAAACAAATCGCGACAATACGGATCATCATTGAACAATCGATTGAATGGAACTCATCACCATTCATCAACTTCCTTGACCATGAAAGGCGTTTAACAGTGTGGATAGGAGAACATTATGGAAACTTCTTCGACACCACGGTGTACCCGCGAAGGTCGCCAACATCATCAGGAATTGATAGGATGGGTTACAGTGCAAAGTGGTGAATGGAGGACAACTGACAGACTGATTCCAAGTGAGAAGCGGAGTCAGAAAAGGGCTGCTTACTCTCCACCTCCATCTTTCTTCTGGTGGTCTACTGGATTTATCGAACAATGTAGAGAAAACGTATCTGGCTGCATTAGCTTGCAGACTTGGCACTTCTTTTTTCTCTTCCATTTAGGGTCTAGCGTTGAGATTTCACATTTATAGTAAAATTAGTCTTCAATTCTTTCTCCTGAGTTTTATTGCAAATTTTAAGTTAGTTAAATGAAACTAAACGTAATACTTTGTCATAAGTAACATAAAACTATGGAATTTCGGGTCTCTTGGGGACACGATACAGTCGTTACATAAGAGGAATCACGAGAATTTCTATCTTTTGACAGGTACACCTGGTTTCGGAACACAGTTGGAGCGATAATTACATTATTCGTTCATTTTATCTTAAAAGCATTGTAACAAATGAAACACGTACTGTTACACAATTCCATTATCTTACATGGAAGGATGAGAATTTGAAAGAAAATAGTAAGCCTATGTTGGAATTCAGACGGTAAGTTTGATTGAATATATTAAATGATATTATTTACTTCGAAAAGTGTTTGTAGAGGTATGATTGCTTTTCCATTAGGAAACGATTATGTGCAGAACTATAGCAGGAATGAAAACAGAACACACCTTTTATCTAAACATAAAGTACTCCAACAAGGGTAGTGATCAGTGAGGAAGATATTCGACATTTAGCTCTTGTGGGTGCTACTTATCTCCAGGTTTATATGTAGGTATCTAAAATTTTAAGCCATCATCAGAATAAGAAGCCACACATAGAAGAATAGGTTTGTTGAATCCAAGTAATTTATATAATTATAACGTAGTTCGATCGTTTAACGTTAATGAACCCGCTAAAGATAGGTAGTCAGTTTGAAATCAATAAATGAGTCAGTTTTCCTTGGAAAGTACGTTAAGACTATTTTTCAAATTTATAAAATAACAAGAAACTTTTGATGACTTGAGTAATCCGTGAATAAAATAACTCCACCATATAAACTACCAGGTAACATTATTGAATATGATACTTTCAATCAGCGCAAGTAGAAGCCACTAGTTTTATTTACTTATATATTTTCGTGTGTAAAACTTTTGTATTTACGTGAAAAACTTAGAGACTGTTACTAACTGACCTTTAAGAGAAAAACTAATTGTTTATCTGTTTCTTTAAAACTCCAGGAAGGTCAATCGTTCATTCCGTGGAATGATGAGCCCTATTGTGGTTCACTGCCGGTGAGTAAAAATATTTCACCAAATCTTTTTACATATGAAGAATTCAACTAACAGTTTCTTCTCCTTGCCACATAAAAAATAGCAGTGAACAATGAAATCTATGATATTACATGCTGATGATCATAGATTTTATTCTGATGTTTACTGAAATGTTCAAGATGAACTTATCAGTCAGTCATTCACTCAGCTACAACGTTGGACTAGGCACATATATGCATCGACCCAAGTTGCCATACCTCATTAGCACAGCACGATGAACACCGGATTCTTAGAAGTAGTTAATTCAATGATGGTAATATATAAAAGAAAGACTCCATATAAGGATATCGTACAGGAAGAAAGAGTTAGTTCGTAGAAAGAAAGATATGAAGCGATTTTAATCTCTTAGTTTAAGGAAAGACAGAGAGTGTATACATCGACGCCATTGTGATCGATTCTGAGCTAGGTCACACAGAGTCCCCAACCAATGATTATGATGGTCACGCGGACCCCAACCAAGTAGTCTGTATCTACCAACATGGCTCAGGCCAGAAGCTAGTGACTTCAAGCACTGATGGCACGTTTTGGTTTGGCCGCCGCTAATTTTCTTCCAACCACCTCTAACACCCGATAACATTGCACAACGTGGTAATCGGTGTTCAGGCATACGTAACACGTGGCCCAACCATCTCAGTCAGTGAAGATTAAAAACTATTACTTACCCGGTAATCCCAGCAGATGCGAGCAATATTTCTAAGGCATCTGTGGTCAAATACTAGTAGCTTACAAATATCTTTACTCTTAATGCCCACGTTTCGCCGCTGTAAAGTAGAACAGAACGAACTGCCGCACTGTATACTCATCCTTTAATTGATAGACGAATATCTCGCCTTCGCCATAGGTGACGCAAGTTGGCAAAAGAGCTTTCCGAATCCGTGCTGAGATTTCGTCAGACACCAACCCATTAGGGCTGATTAGAATTCCAAGAAAAGCGTAGTTGTCGACTACTTTACTTAACAAGTATATGTGTGCTCAAATTGTTCGGAATGTATTGCGCTAATATATCACATAGTTCTGATAATCTTCGTTTTTTTACTACATTATCGAAATTTATCAACGGAACTAACTGCTTTAAATGTAAGTATTTATATACGTACTCGGTAGCCCAATAGACTTTCTCTCAATCTTATGTTCTAATTCAGTGGTTGGCTGCGCGTAGCACGGTGTATCAGATCAGACCTCGGAGACTTTCCATCATAACAGAGTTCTTACCGTAATTTAGTTTCTTATGTTACTAGGGTTAATTGTGAATAACTGTTTTCTGGATTCGATCGCACGAAGTACTGTAGTATGTTGACTAAAAACCACTACCTTTTTGCAACACAGGAGAAAAGATGGAACATAATAAATAAAAGGTATAGGAATAACATGAAAAACAACATTAATAGGGAAAAAGAAATAATAACGTACAAATGTTCAGTAGTCAAAGGTGAAGAATGAATGGATTGACTATTTGGACTAATCACAATCAATAACATGCAATTTCTTATCTCTACGTTGCTTTTAAAGCTTTGAGACTAACAACCGGAAAAAGAAAAGTTCCTTTCACTCAATCCAACTCAGTTTTCAATATACTTGGCTTCAAGCCACAATTCATGTATGAAAGGTAGCGATACCAACCAGTTGCCTAAAGGAGGTGCAAAGGAATAGATTTAGTCAACTAATGACTGGAAGTCAAACGAATTGAATACTAAGCCACCTCTGGTTGTTTTGGCTTTTATTGTTCATTATGATGAATGACAGGACGCAGACGGTTTGTCTAAAATACCACGTATAAGAGTTACGCATCATTCATTTTTAAACAAAATAAATTTACAATTCCTACTGGCTTACAGATGGAATTTCTATTATTTGTATTCTTAGTGATGGATGCGGACGAACAGGTGCATATATTTTACTAGATTTGGTCCTGAATCGTATCACTAAAGGTGTTAAAGAAATTGACATAGCTGCTTCACTGGAACATCTAAGAGATCAAAGACCAGATATGATTAAAACATTGGTAAGTTTCTTATTTTTTGTAAAAGAAAAGGGACTAAATATTGTCCAATTCAGTTCTTGTTTATTCCAATTCTTAGGTTTTAGATTCTAAGAATATGAAAAAATAATGATATTACCATTTAAGTGATATAGATTTAGTTAGATGGTGCGTGCATGGATCTGTAGTTTTTATTAGCTATTTTGAATACAAAAAGCTCCTTTCTGTTGAAGTTATCGTTTTTTTATTTTAGCAAACGTGCAATTTTAGGTGACGAGCTAGTTCTATCGTTAGTCAATGAATAGGAAACTATGCGGCTGTTTCTATTGTTTGTAAGCAAGTATCCCAGAAGAAACGTACCTGAAACAGTTAACCATATCGAGACCGAGTATACCTTCTCAGATCATGATAATTCTCTTGAATGAACCAGTGCAACCGTTTGGTTATCCATCTAAAATTGTTACTATATTTTGTGATGTACAGCCGATGTCGAGAATTATACTTATGTGAAGGCAAGATAACTTGTCCTTACGACATGGAACAATCAAGAATGTTAACAGTCTGTGATCTGATTTTTTATCGAAACCTTAGGACCAGTATGCGTTGCATCCAACTACTTGTATCTTTTAGTAGTATGATTTCCATATTAATGTAGACATTTTATTACCTTCTTATGCACAGTGGAAATCTTACTTGCTTACTAATTGATGACAAATTCTGGAACAGATTTTTTGATATAGAAATTCTTTGATTTCCACGAATGATTGATATTACGAAATTTAACTGCCCGAACAGCCTCCAGATTCAATATACAGGGTGAAGAAAGCCGTTTCATGCATTCATATGACACTGCAAATTAGAAAACAGATCGCGACTTGATTTAAACTAAATCGTCCCTATATTATTATGAATGAAATGTTCTGTGATTCAGTTTGAATTATATTACCTGAATGTTGTGTGGGACAAGCACATAAATGTGCTAACTTGGTCGTACGGAGAACGATTATTTTACTACTTAAGTACGACTAAGAGCTTTCATTTGATCACAATACTTCGTACTTGTTTTATTTTAGGAGCAGTATGAGTTTGTTCTCTCATCAACTGCTGAAGAAGTAGATGCAATGCTTCAACCAAGTACATGAAAAAATGACAAAGAACATCTTTAAAAAAGTCAGGACAAAAATTTACAGTATCATTTGATGTTACATTCAAATTCAATGAGATACATGTGAAATTTGAGAATAAACTGAAATATCGAATCATGCACATAAAACAGCTCTTTTATTCTCAAATGGGTGATCACATTGCACCTGGATTTCAACAAAATTGATTTTAGTAGTGAATTAATTCATGGATACACGTACGCTAGGGAAATAGGTATGAAACCTAGAACTTTATATTGCTATCGCTGTCACTTAAATACTTAACGGTAAGAGTTTATTCAGTTCAAAGTAATTATTGTGAGCCCCAAGTTAACGTCAAGAAAACTTTCAACTAATTTATTCATGAAGTATTTATGTACGAACCGCATTGTAAGTGCCAGGGATAATGATACTGTTCAGAGATGACTATACCTGGGGCTTAGCAAACGAAAGTCGAGCGTCTTAGGCAATAGGTCAATGCTCCGTGAAGCTCTCGTCTAGTGAGACAAACTATCACAATAAAAACACACGCGTTGGGAACGCCTTAGCCGTCACCGTGACGAAGTGCGTCTTCTAGTTCGAACGACTTCAACCAACAAATACTATTAATATCCCTTAATTTGATCTGTAATAGGCATACTAATTTCCATTAAAATATCGAAGCATTAATACAGGTTGTAACAGGAAGTTGCTTGCCTCATTGGTTCGAATGATCAAAAGATTATTAGCTCACTAACGTTGCTTCTATTAACAATTTCATGCCAGTGCTAGGAAAAGCATAATTATTCAAGATTTGGTTCCTACTATAGCTAGATCAACCCAACAAAACTATGACAGGATTTTTTAAGGAATGATGTACTAGACGTAAACTGGTTTTGAGGTCAACGAATCAGAAACGGTTACTGTTGTCAAGTGGCCGTTGACAAATACCACGTGCCGAGTCACCAATCAGAATTCTGATTCTATTTTAGTCTACTTCGCGTCTATTATTTAGTCTATACCTTAATGTATCTGATTTGCCAGTTACATCCCGGATCACCACGACTGACCTTGAGTCAAAAGCTAAGCTCCGACTGACCTGCTTCTCGCAAGCTCCTCTTCATGTCCTGTCTTGAGTTCAGAAAAATCAATCAGCCTCTACTATATTTATATTTCAAAAAGACGACTTATATCCAGGCATACCGGACCGCATCACACTATACAAAAATAGCAATTATACACAAGCAAGCCAGAAAGTACCGTCAATAAAAGAGACTAAACAATAGACTGGGGACAAAATAATGATAGTAATAACTTGAAAAGTCAATTCCCACTTTTAGTGTATGTTGCGTTATAACAAATACTAAAGACGAAACAGATCTTGATGTTTCTATTATTAGACTACTCATGAAGAAACACCGGTAGAACCTTAGAGATAAATTCTGTCAACCATACTGTTTTCGTATTTACAATTCTACTTTTTCGATATGCTTTTATCCCGGACCAAGTTCTGCGTAATAATTACTATCCATAATGGAAATATAACCACTGAATTTGATTATCTTGACGGCTTGATCAAACGGGCAATAAGATGGTACCTTGAGGTAATCTATCAAGTTGTTTTGGGCAGGTTAGCAACAAAATATTCCTCACAGAATTCATAACTGAAAGGAGGTACATTGAAAACGAGTTTCCCTGTACCTCTATATTAAGTGACTGGAATGTTGGCTTGTTTTTCAGAAGTTCATGTAATCCCTCAGTCAATCGCCACTGCTGAAAGTTTCACCTTATCAGAGCTGTAGCAATGCGCAAAACAAATATTTATAGACTCTGTTCGAATGCATAATCAGCTGGAGTTACTTGTGCGATTCCCAGTGAAACTGAACAAAGAATTTTATCTACTCCACAGGAAGACCTTGAAGTAATGTTATTGTATTTCACGCGATTAGAATAGCATTAGAAAAATATATTTATTTATAGACTTAGTACTATTATATATGCCTATCCGAAAAAGTAAAGTACTTGCCTTTAGGTATATATGTGGCTTTCAGAACCAGTGTCATTGAGAGCTATTGTGTATAACGAAAAGTCAGTTCATTCACTGTTTACCTTAAATTCTTCTAGTAGGATTTAGTTATCACTTTGATTGACTCCGGGTCAGTAAACTTACATTGGAAAAGTTCATGTTAAATATATCACCACCAGTAATATAGACTGGGTAGAAATTTTTCAATCATAAGCCGGATGACAAAAAAATAATTCCTCGGGTTACTACTACTAGTCCTATCTGTAGAAACTGAATTGCTTACATCAGATCAAGTAAATTAGGAACAAATGTTATCATAAAGTTAAGTAATTTATAGAACATACGTCAAATTATCTGTAAACTATGAGAATAATATATACAAACACAAAAATACAAAGAATTTCGATACAAAAATAAATAAATCAGTAAATGTATATTTTTCACGAGTTATAATTCTCTGTAAGATGAGATAACAAATCAAAGTCAACCGACTGTGCTATACTTTTAGCAATTTCTAAACTTATCAGGCAACGATATTTAGGGTTAGCCAAAGGGTCTAAATCAGATATAGCGTTAACCGAACTATTTGTTGTACTCAATCCAGTAGTAGATGAATTCCCAACAGACAAAGCCTGTGAACTTGGCGATAAAAGACCACAGGCTGTTAAACAGGCAATTTGACTCATTAAAATACTTGTGCATGGTACTTTTGCAAATTCATTTTGTACTAGGACATAGAATATTGCCAACAAGCGATCTAGGGTGAAGATTCGAGGGCCAGTAAACTCTGCTTGTGTCTAAGAAATACAAAGCAACATATCTTTAAACTTTCTACATGACAATGATGGTCATTTTATAGATAAATGTCACACGTTAAAAATCAAGTGAAATGCAGTAATAAAAATATTAGTGTATCCACTTATCATTAGTCGAATGAAAATGTTTAACAATTAACGAGTCGTTTTGCAGATAATGAGTGAGTTTTTATTTCGTGGGGGGGGGGTTGGGATGAAAATAATGACGTAAATACTTACTTATGCCTGTAGCCCCTCGTAAAGCGCAGCCCACCGACCATACATCTCCAACTTACTGTGTCCTATACACTTCTTTTCAGTTGTTTCCAAGTGCTATTCACTCTTTTGATGCCTGCCTCCAATCACCGCCACAATGGGTTCTTTGGCCTTCGTCTATTCTTTTTGCAATGAGGATTTCAAGTTATGGCTTGTCTCGTGATCCAGTTTAATGATTTTCGCAATGTGCATCCTATACACCTCCAATGACTTTTCTTGATTTCCTCATCGACCGGAGGTTGGTCTGTTCTCTAACACTGTAGGTTATTGCTGATGTCTGGTCAACGGATCTGGAGTATCTTGTGCAGATTACTGTTCATAACTACCTATACCTTTTAGATGATGTTTGTAGTTCTCCGTACAATGGTGCTGTTTTGATGGTTGTATAGAAGATTCTGACTTTCGTGTTGGCGCATGGTTGTTTTGAGTTTCATATACTCTTTAGTTGTAGGAATGTTCCCATTGCTTTGCCTATTCGTGCTTTCACAACTGCATCACGCTTCTCTTGTTTATCAATCATACTCTCTAGATATGTAAATGTCTCCACCTCTTCCAGAGCTTCTCCACTAAGTGATTAGGTTGGTTCTCTCTGTGTTGTATTTAAAGATCTTGCTTCTCCCGTTATATAAGTTGAGGCCTGTCGGTGTAGTCAGCTGCTACACTAACTGTCTCCACCTGTATTTGTCGTTCTGCATGGGATAGAACAGCTAGGTCATCTATGGAGTCGTCTAGCTGCACACAAGTCGTCCATTTTATTCCGTGATTTCCCCCAGATGTGGAGGCTTTCATATTCCGGTCGAACAGCAAAAACAGGTGGTGATAGTAAGCAGCTCTCTCTAACATCAGTTTCCACGTGGAATGGAATTGTAAGCTGTCCATCATGTACGACTGTACTGTAACTTATGCGAGTTCATAGCGCTTATGTAACCAAAAGTTTTGCCTAGTTTGATAAGGTTTGTACATTGAGAGCTCCAATACACTTCGCAGCACAGATCAAAGTAACTTGGAGTATCGTTTAGTGAATTTAAATCTTTATGACTAGGTTAACATGGAGATCAGTATATCAATATTCATTTGTGATTGTAAAAAAATTGATTGGATAATCGTTCAAATATTATTGATAACCACATCGGTTGACATCATCAATCCATGAAGTCAGAGTGCATTTGTTAAGGTTGATATCTTTTATGACCTCTACATCTGTCTACGGAGAAACGATGGTGCTTGATGTACTCATAAATAAACGGTGAACTGACTGATAAACTATCCATCTGCATGACATACACATTAGTGATCGTGAGAACTACTTTTCAAAATACTATCACAATTATGCAAACCAACAATAATGTTGTTGGCGTTAGTAATGAATTAGCGAAGAATAATAACTCACCTTGCATACTTCCTTTTCCTGTTTCTTTTTACGGATACTTAAACGTCCGGAGTTCTAAATAGAATAGTAAAAAAGGAAGCGAATAAAGCTGTATATATGTGGGTCAGGAAATAGGATTTGTAAATTAAAGTGCTTAGGAAATCTTTGAAGTACTAATAAAGACGAGTGTTTAGAGGTGAAAGCTTTAACATGAAGAAATTTAGGACAGGTCAAACATTTTGAATTAAATTTTCTACGACGAAAAGTAAAATCTGTAGTCACCTTTGTCATGAGCTTTTTGTCCGATGAGCGGGGATTATGTGAAGCCATAAATGCAGCAATAAGTAAAAATCTAGTCAAATAAGGTAATTCCAAAAATTTTTGTCTCCCAGCGTTTTTCGTAGACAGAGAATCTAAATTTGAATCCCCATAATGACGCAAATACAGAGTAGACAAAGACTTTTTGAGATATGGTTGAGCCAACTTCCATTGACCCCATTCATCGTCCGCGGCAACCAAGCCTTTATTTACAGGTTCATTAAAAGCATTCCAGTTT